TGTTTTGGAGATTAGGTTCTTCAGACCCAGAGCAACTGAGATATTTTTTTCTCATACATGAAGTTAATGATACATCTGGGACCCAGCACCCAGGGTTCCTGGCTCTGTGCCTTGAGTTCTTTTGTTGTCACATGCTGATTACAATGACCAAAGTTAAGAACAAAACACAGCAAAGCATAGAGACTTGTTAAGGGGAATAGTAATCTAGACAGGAGATTATGCTTGACTTGTTTCATTATTTTCTTAATGTGCTTATTTATTGATTTTAGAGAGAGAGAGAAGGGGGTGTAGGGAGAGAGTGTGTGTCATCGATTTGTCATTCACTTATTTATGCATTCATTGGTTCATTCTTTTTAAAATTTTTTTAAAAAAGATTTTATTTATTTTTGGAGAGAGAAGAATGAAGGGACAGAGGGAGAGAAACATCAACATCTGGTTGCGTCTCATGCATTCCCGACTGGGGACCTGGCTTGCAACCCAAGCATGTGTCCTGACTGGGAATTGAACCAGCAACCCATTGGTTTGCAGGTCCATGCTCAATCTACTGAGCTATACCAACCAGGACCACTGGTTGATTCTTGAATGTGCCCTGACTGGGGATCGAAGCCACAGCCTTGGCCTATCGAGATGATGCTCTAATCAACTGAGCCTCTTGGCCAGGGTTCGCTGTATTTTTAAACTTCTGTTCCATGTGGCTATGATATTTTCTGACACAATCCGACCTGAATTCCATTGACATGATTAGGCTGTAGCAGTGAGAAATAAATTATGTGCTGGAAGAGCTGAGGAAGTAAGACCATAGGGATTTGTTTGCTGCAGAAATTAAACTAAAGGTCTTAGCTGAACAACTTCAAATTTGTGGTTTGGCATAGAAATAAAGTAGCATTTCTGTCTCCAAACTCAACACGACTGTGTGTCCTAGTTCATCTTGAATGACATTTTAGAGGATCGCTGCAGGAGGCCTACCTAATGAGAATATGTGAAAGGACTCTTATTGTTAAATGTTCTTTACTGTACTTTGAAAAGGAAGTGGGAGGGCGAGGGATTAAGTGTTGGAGTATTAGACAAGTGATCTGAATTACTGAGAGTTGCCCACTTACCATTGTTAAAAAATGTTATTTTGCTTTCAGTAAGTAAAATCTAATTTTACCGAGGTAAGCAAACTTCTCCATTGTGATTGCTTACTTAGAGAATTAGCATAAATTTGATTTTGATGTGGGAACAATTTGACCAACTCCAGGTGAGGCCTGGTTTCTCTTGTCCTTCCAACTTCTTGCTGCAGTTACTGTGCTGTGCTCTGGACATTTTGTCTGTCTTTGACCCCTTTGCTCTTCCTACCAGGCTGCTCTCCATAGCTCTCCCACTCTGACTGGGTTTCCCTCCCTTTTTGTGGGACCTTGCACACTTCAATTTTTAGGTTGTTTACTTTAGGTACGCCACTCTCGTTGAGATAAGGCAAAACCACCTTGGAAGCCCTTCTACAGACTGTGGGTCACAAAAAGGCCGTGCTGTGAGGAATGAAAGCGGGTGAGAATGGGGTTTCTGAAATCAGTGGGCCCATTTTACATCACAGCTCTGCCATTGGTCAGCTGCGTGACCCTGGGCAGATTCTTAACCACTGCTCGCAGTAGTTTCCTCCTCTGTATAAATGGGGATAACAGTATTTTCCTCTGAAGACTGAGTTATCTAAGATAAAGTACTTAGCATGGTGTTCAGGAATAGAACTCAGTAAATTAAATTCAGTTGTAATCATTCTTGCTGTTATTATTATTCAAAAAGGAACTGGATACAGTTAGTACTTTTAGGTATGACCTTGGGTTATAGTGCATTATTGTGTGACCCTGGGAAAATGGCTTTACCCATCTGGGCCTCATTTTTTCATTGAACAAATGAGGATGTGGGAAGGAATTCTGCCTTGTGGACAGTTGATAAACCCTATTGAGGCCTGAATGTCTGTTTCAAATGCATGTGAATCTCATGTTGTTAGATCTACTTCCTGTAACCCAGGAAGCCTCTTGACACTTCCTCATCAGCCAGGCCTTCCTCTGCTCATCACACAGCATGATGACTTGTCCTGATGATGTGTTTCTTAGGTTCTCCTACAGGACAGCTCCCTTAGTAACAACAGCTTCCTACAAATGCTGTGCGAATAACCTATAGTGATAGGTTTCCTGTAATGGTTTAACACAAGGTCCTGCACAAATAATGCCCCTTTTTAATCACAAAATCTTCTATTACAAAATCATAAGCATGTAATTTATAAAATAACAATATCACACTCAAGCACACCATATGACATTTTAGGTGAAATGTTCAAATGGCTGTCCATCTCATGCAAGACATTCATGTACCCTGCCAGTTACACTCAGGCAAGCCTTACTTCTGCTGGACCCTGTATGTTATTTTTCAGACAGTGTAACTGAATGCAGATCTGGCTGCCCGCTGCTTTGAAAGCCAGTACCGGAGAGGCGGGTGCCGATGTAAAGACAAGTGGCTTTATTCAGGTGCTGGCAACCTGGAAGATGGGGACTCTCACCTCAAAGCCCGTCTCCACATCTCAGTGCAGGCAGGGGGTGTAAGGAGGGACAGGGGCGAGGAGAACAAAGGCACCAGGGCGAGAGGCTGTGGACGTGCAGGCAGTGTCCTTGCTGGTCCCCATGGGTCTTTGTGTCAGCACCGTGGAGCTGGTCGGCGGCAGCCCAGTCCCTGCGTTGGGCGATCTGTGTCACCCAGAGTCTTGCGTACAAGCAGGAACTGGAACTGCTGGCAGTGCAGTGTGCTCACAGAGAAACTGCTGGTGTGCGGGTTCTTTTTAGCAGTTCGTTAGTACAATTTATTCTGATTCCATTTCGTGGTAAGCCAGAGTAGTATAAAGTTTTTATTCCCTGTTACAATTGCATTTTTAAAAACTAGAAGAATCGTTATGGTAAGATTTTAAAAAAACCAAAGAAATCAAACCTGTGTTTTTCAACTTTTCTGCCAAAGCCTGGAGGGTTGGGGATCATAGCCCTAGTTGACTTGTCCTGCTTCCAGTCCCAGGCATGTAATGTCTCTGAACTATATGTTACCTAATATTCATTTAAACTTCATATACTGTCCATAATATGGCCACATTTTTAAAAGTATTGTTTTAAATTACGTATCAGTTGTTATTTAGCTCCCCAGCTGCAAGTAAAATTGCAGTTTTATGATGTTGCCCTGGCCCTGACCAGTGTGGCTCAGCTGTTTGGAGTGTTGTTGCCTAAGCCAAAGGATCGTGTGTTTGATTCCTGGTCAAGGCACGTGCCTAGGTCGGGGGTTCGGTCCCTGGTCAGGGTGTGTACAGGAAGCAACCGATCAATCTTTCTCTGTCACGTTGATATTTCTCTCTGTCTCTTTCTCCCTCCCTTCTCTTCTCTAAAATCAATAAGCACCCCGGCTGGTGTGGCTCAGTGGATTGAGTTCAGGCCTATGAACTGAAAGGTCACTGGTTCCATTCCCAGTCAGGCACATGCCTGGGTTGTGGGCCAGGTCCCCAGCTGGTTGTGTATGAATGGCAACCTATTGATGTTTTCTCACACATTGATGTTTCTCTCCCTCTCTTTCTCCCTCTATTACCCCTCTCTCTAAAAATAAATAAATAAAATATTTTTAAAAAACCCAATAAGCATGCCCTCAGGTGAGGTGAGGATTAAAAAAAGTTGTGTGCCATGTTTGTCTGGTGGCTTTGAGACGACCCCCTGCCCCCACCACTCAGTGAGCTAATTTAGAGCCAGACAGTCTAAAGCAGTTGTTTTGAAGATGGAACTCGCTGGCACGCTGGCAAGTCTGTTGGGGAGACATTTTCGATGGTGACTGAATCACCTTAGGAGGTTGATTTGTGCAAAGTTGGAAAGACTTTCAGTGGCTGTGGGTTGAAAACCGGCGTCATCACCATCCAGCTCCTGTGCAAAAGAGAGATGGAGCAGCCTGTTCCTTTCAGGACATGTAAGGAGCTTTACAGTTCTAAAACTTCCCCAAATTATACTGCAAGTCAATTTTTATATATTTTGAGTATGTGGAAGTTTGGAGTGGCAGAAACCCACTTTCTCTCCTTTAAAGTGGGGACTTTCTCAGATTGTGTTCCGACCTTTGCTGGCAGCTCTGTGGTTGAAGGGCGGCCGGGAGCCCTGAGGGCTGCTAGCAGTGGGGCCTGCAACGAGGCGTGTCTCTCAGCCTGACTTTCTTTATATAAAAACATGTTATGATTTCTATGATCTTGCAAATGAGGTAAGATTTGTTCTTGTAGGTTCCTCTTAGTACTGCTTGTTGTATTTATAATCATTTATTTGATGTCTGTTTCCAGTAAGACTGTGACTTTCATAGACCATGGATGTTTTATTCACAACTGTATGACACTTGTCTTCCATCCTGCACTGTCAATAGTATTGTTTATTTATTCATTCAAAAATATCTGTTTAATGTCTGCTGAATAGCAGGTACCATTTAGTCTGGAGAAATGGCACGAACAGGGCAGGCAAAGTCCCTGGTCGCATGGAGTTTAGACCCGTAAGGCAGCCACATCCAACAGCACCGTCCGTGGTACTTCTTCACTGAGCTGTTCTGTGTGGCAGCCATTAGTCAGTCCCATGTGACTGCTGAGTACTTGACATGTGACTACTGTGAATGAAGAAATGACAGTTAAGGTTTATTTAATTTTAGTTCATTTAAATTGCAAAGTATAGTGACTACCATATTAGACAATGTTGTTCTAGAGGATTAAGGGGTTGGAGATAGAGAAAAAGAAATAGATAGTAAATGAACAAAATAATTTCACATAGTGATAAGAACTGAGAAAAAATAAAACGGAGAAAAGGTATAGTAAGTACAGGAATACTTTGTATAGCATGATTCTAATTGAGTACAAGTCAATAAATGTAAAATAAATAAATGATGAATATCTATTGAGTTCCTTTTTGGAAAAAAAAGGTAAACCCTTACATTTCTATCATTTTATTAACTCCAACTATTTTTTTTCCTAGCCTTGAATTGTCATCTCTTGTTCCTGTTGGTGAGACTTCCACAGTGGGAGGTGTGCTTTTGTGCCTTTACATACTTTTTTCTTAAAATTATTTTTGGTTTAACATAATCTTGCTAGCACTTGTTTTTCAGCTCACATTTAAAAGGTGTTGTGTTTCTCTGTCTATGTATGTTGTTTATGAGCCTCACAAAAAGTAATTTAAAAACAAATTTATGATATTATGTTGTGGGCACTTAAAAATCTTTAATTATTGAATATGATACAGATCAGAAAACTGCTGAAAACAAATGCACAACCTAAAGAATTATTGTGAGGCAAACACTCTGTCACCACTGCTCACGTCAGCAGGTGGCACCTTTAGACTCACCACTTGTCATTTGTCTTGTGCAGTTTCCCAGAGTAAGGGTTTTTTTGCTTGCATTCTGTGGTGTACTTTAGCATGTTCCTTTGACCTCTCTATTTCCTGTAAATTGGTAGTTGCTTTCTTTATTATCATTTTTTTAAAAGCTTCTCTGTATTGGAAATTTCAAACATATGCAAAAAATGAGAAAAAGCACACTGAGGCCCAGCATCAACAATGATGGATTCATGGTTAGACTCCAACCTTCTCCCACTTCCCCTCACTGGCAGCGCTAGCTACTTCATTCAGTACTTGTCCCCGTTACCAGAGGGACAAATGAAGCTTTAAGGATAGGAACTGTGCCTGTATCCCTCGTGTCTTGCATGAAGTTTGATGTATACTGGGTGTTCAGTAAATGTTTGTTGTGTGAATGAATGAATCATAATTATTTCTTCTTCTGGGAAGACTTCATGCAAATGTGTCTTAGGGTTAGAATGCATAGAATTTCCAGAATGAAAAAGCAACTGCCTTATGGTTTTGTAGACAGTTTCTTATTTTCTGATATGAAGTCTGACTTAGGGACCGGATTCATACACATGTCTTTCTTTTTCTACTTAGGTGCCGTCCTCAGCGTTCCACATCCAGGGGTGACCTCTTATGAAGGTACCTCAGAGAGCGGCTTGGAGAGGCTGGAGGAGAGTGTGAGTGATGCTCTGTTTTATTTAGCTTCTAACTTGGAGAACAGGGTTAGGAGAGATTATTATTCCATTGCAAGAGTACACAAGACTTCCCATCATTCCCTTATGGAATATTTTGGATTCTGAAACCAGTACTTTAAAAAGAATCAGATTCATTGGAGAGTCATGCTTTTGGTGAGAAAGGGCTTCAGATTGTAAATGAAACGACTTAGGGTCTTGGGAGCTGTCATTATGGTAATCCCACTCACTGTCTCTTGTAGGCTATGGGACATGATTTACTGTGGGAATTTTTAAAGAAGATTTTGTTTATTTAATTTTAGATAGCGGGGAATGGAGGGAGAAACAGAGGGAGAGGAACAACAATGTGTGGTTGCCTCTCACGTGCCCCCTACTGGGGACCTGGTCTGCAACCCAGGCATGTGCCCTGACCGGGAATCAAACTGGCAACCCTTTGGTTCACTGGCCGGCACTCAGTCCACTGAGCCACACCAGCCAGGTCTTCTATGGGGATTTTTGCCTACATTCTTATATCCCTAAATCGAGTAGGATAGCTTCCTCTTCTTCAGTGGGAAAGGATATAGATGTTATGTAGTTTAAAAATCAAGAAGCACCATGCTTTTCAAATACATCATTATCAATAGTAACCTGGCCACTATACAACATGGACTCACTGTCACATTCAGATTTTTAAAAAATACACATGCCCAGGAAGATAGAAACATTTTGTAAGGAGTTTTGTTCAATATGTATTTAAAAAATTTTGAGGTTCATAAATCCTTGATTACTTAATATAGAGCAAATGCTGAACATATTCCCTAAAAAGCTGCAATTCAGTTACCCGGCATTTTCTCGTCCCAAACTCGAACATTTTATTTTATGTGAAATCAGAAGAAGTCAACCACTTTGCCCCTCCACCCTTGTTATCACTGAAAAAGACCATTTGTAGCTTGGATTTCGTTGGCCGTTCGTGTTGGTGGCCAACTCGGTATTTTTACCTTCAGTACCACTGTCTCCCAAGTTCATGATGCTAAAAAATCACCATTTGATAAATATTTATGAATGAATGAATAAAAAGTGTTACTATACTTCTGAACTTGAGGAGGAATGATTATGATTTAGGCCTGGAAACATTTATAGAATAGATCAAATCCACTGTAGTGGAAATGAAGGAATTGTGTGTAATCAGTTGGAACATTAATGTCCAAAACAGAAAGGATGATTTGAAGCCAATTTATAGAACAAAATACTATTGAGATACCTAAGAAGAATTAGGTTGCCTAGTTCAAAATTGAGAATTAGTTCAGAATAAAGCCCAAGATACAATTTTACATTTTGGTTTTTCCTAGTATATTTTTCCACCTACCATTTTAGAAATCATATACTTTATTTCCATTTTGTTTGTAGTTATACTATAAGTTATAATGTGTACTTAATTAGCAAAATTTAAGTGTTTTAAAATCTTTATCCTGAGCAATATGGGAACATGAGAACACTGTAATTCAAATGATCCCCATACTGATTTATATTGTATTTTCAGTATTTTTGTTATTTTTCCTTTATTTTACTTTTCTCTTTTTTTTCTTACTCCCACAAATTAGACTGTACTATATTTGCTTTATACAGTTAAAGTTTGTCTTACACTTATGTAAACTAGTAGATGATGTTTATAATTTTATTCAAATTCTTTTTTGGATTTTAGACTTCTTTTCGAGGCTAATTTTCCTTCTGAAATATATGTTCCTGATATTACTTTAGTAAGAATCTCTCACTGTTTCAGTCTCAGTTTTTGGTCATCTAAAAATATCCTTATTATCCTCATATTGTAGAAAAATATTTTAAATCTGTATTAAATTCTAGTTTGAGGTTCTTTATTGTCAAGTTTTATTTCCCTATTTCCTAACTTTTATTGATGCTACTGGGAACTCAACTGTCAGTTTATTGTTATTCTGGTTGTTTTCGTCAGCTTTTTTTTGGAAGCCATTTTATTTTTTGCTTTTTTTCCAGAGAGATTACATTCGCATGTGTCAAAAATAACAATATTGTAATTGGTGAAGAGTCACATGTTTAACTCTGCCATCTTCATGGTTTCCCCTTCCTACACCAACCTTTCTCCACAGCCTACCAGGCAGCTGCTTTTGTGATGTTCCTGTGAAATATTCCAGACTCCTTAAAGGCACACACCAGCAAATGGAGCTCCTATTCTTCCCATCAAGGGATTCTTTAACTTGAGACTCTATAAGACAACAAAAAGGATTATTTGAAAAAGTGAAATATGCATTAATGGAATAACTATACATAGTTTATAATGCAGTAAACTTAAGCATAAATACATAAATAAATACAGTGAACTTCAAATAATACACTAATTTAACTGCATGGGGGCTCTTTTAAAAATATATATATATTTTATTTATTTATTTTTAGAGAGGGTACGGGAAGGAGAAAGAGTGGGAGAGAAACATCACTGTGTGGCTGCCTCCCATGTGTCCCCCACTGGGGGCCTGGCCTGTAACCCAGGCACGTGCCCCGACTGGGAATCGAACCAGTGACCCCTTGCTTCACAGGCCCACACTCAGTCCACTGAGCTACACCAGCCAGGGCTGCATGGGGGCTCTTTTGTTGCAGGATGTGTGAACTCCTTGAAAGGAGTTCCCCCTTTTAAAGTATTCCTTGTCTATTTTTAAGATGTATCTACTTATTTATCATCATAAGAGATAACGGCTGAGAATTTCTCAGAATTTATGATAGGTGTAAAGCCTCAGATGAAGGAAATACATCAACTCCAAGGAAAAATAAATGGACATAAGTATACTCCTCTACCGATTTTTGTGAAACTGCAGAATCCCAGATACTGTAAATCCCATATACTGTATATATGTAAAATACTACACAGCATTCGGGACTCTGCAGTTTCACAAAAAATGGCTATAAAAGAAATTCTCAGCTGTTATCTCTTAGGATTAGATATGTCTGACTTTTTCATTTTATCTCTCATGTTGTTAATTACTCTTTAATAACTAATTTCTTTGTCTTTCTGTGTTGCATTCAAGTATGTCTTTCAGTTCATTAATTCCTCCTTCAACTTAGACTAATTTGTTTCAAACTGCCTACCGAGTTTTTAGAATCCTTGCTCTATGGATCTGACATTCAGCATGTACAGGCCTTCCACTTTGTGTCCTGTCCCTTTGTGGCAAAAATGGCAACTGGGCCTCAGGGGATCAGCAGGTACACCATGTACACGTACAACACTAAACCACCTCTCTGGATTCTTCTACTCTTCCTTGACCCCTTGTGGTTTTCTTTCTTGCAAGTGATCTATGCATTAAAAGGATTGAAAAATAATTACTCAGCATTTTAGGCATTCTGTGGCAACAAGGTTACTAAACATATTTCTTTTAAAATACTAGTGGAATTGGAAGTTTCTGTTCAAATCTAGTGAGGTAAAATTTAACATGGAAAAATGCAGAGTCTTGTACAAAATTCTGTTTAAGACAAGGGTTTTTGTTGATGTTATTCTCAGTATGAATCAGCCGTATGATACAGTTACTGGGGAGCAGTGCACCTGGCAAAAGCTGGTGTGGTTTTGGGTTGCATAATGCAGATATAGGTTCTTTCATAAGGGGGGTGGTAGTCCTACCATGGTTTAGTGGATCGGACCTCACTTGTGTGTACCACACTCTAAGGAAGGCATTAGAGGCCTGAGAAAGGTCTGGAGTTGAGGAACTAGTGAAAAGTCAAGGAAGACTTGGGAGCTGCCTGTACTTACCTGAAGGGCTCTGGTGGCTGCATTGTGTGTAAGTGTCCCAGGTTACTTAGTTGGGATCAATGGTAACAGTTACAGGGCTTATATTTGGGTTTAATATTAAGAACTTTCTAACCATGAGAGCTTTTCAGGAAATGTAACGAATGGTCTGCCTTTTGAAAGTCGTGACTCTTTTTCATCAGAGCCATTTCAAATTGGGGATGAGCAGCCATTTGTCAGGGACATTGTGTAGAGAATTTAAGCATCAGAAGTGATGTTGGGCCCTGGCTAGTGTAGCTCAGTGGATTAAGTGTGGACCTGTGAACCAAAACGTCACTGGTTCCATTCCCAGTCAGGGCACATGCCTGGGTTGCTGCCCAGATCCCCAGTAAGGTGCGAGAGGCAACCACACGTTGATGTTTCATTCCCTCTTTCTCCTTCCCTTCCCCTCTCTCTAAAAATAAATAAATAAAATCTTTAAAAAAAAAGTGATGGTGGGATCTCCTAAAGTTTTTAAAGTGCTGATTATATGTTCCATCAGGGATGAAAATGACGCAGTGAAAAAAGTCTTGTGTTCTCTTCCTGAGTTTGCCATTGGCTGCTATGAGCCCACAGGCCAGCTCTGCTTCCTGGCTTTCTCGTGCATCAGAATGGAGGGTCTGGGAATAGATGAACTTGGGTGCATCTTGCATGCAGCAGTTATTACTGTATGTTTTACTAGTGATGTTCTATTTCCCTCATCCCTTCCACATTTATTAATTGGAATTCTATAGTGAGGAACTATTGTAACTTCTTATACATTTGTTTATTAAGTCATGTTAGTACAGGTACATGGATGTTTATTTTATTCTTTGGATTATAATTCAATATTCATTTTGTTGCTCTCATTATGCCAGCTTTGGCCACTAGAAGACGTGGATTCTAATAATACACATTACAAAAATTTGCTGATATGGTTTCAGATTCCACGTGGCAGCAAACCATTTGGAAACTACCACCTGTTTCTGTAGAGCTTGGTGTTGCACCTAAAATCCAGTGACCTGAAAAGGCTGTTAATATATTCCTCTCTTCTGCAATACATTTCTGTACGGCTAGATTTTCTTCACATACTTAAACTACAATGACATATTAGAATCGATTAATGCAGAAGCAGATTTGAGAACCCAGCCTTCATCCATTAACCAGTACATCAAAGAATTTTTAAAAATATAAACTGTGTTGAGAAACATGCTTCTAACCTATTTTTAGATGATAGTTTTAGCATGGTCAACTGAATTTTAACTTACAGATGTTCAAACTTGGTGGTTATCTTTGAAAAATTTTCTCTTTCTCTGAACTGATCATTGTGTGTTCAAAGGAATGTACAAATGTACCATAATTTTAATGTTAACCTACGTCTTGAAGTCCACCCAGTTAGTACCAAAGTCAAACCATGTATAAAAAATGATCATCAGAAATTGTCTTTGGCATAGCATCAGACATACAATAGGCCATCAATATGTATTTGTTGACTGAATAAGTAAACATTAACATTTATTTTTCTTTCCCTAAAAATTCAGATTAGCAACGAAATTGAGACCGTGAGAGAAGAGTCTATAAAACCAGCAGCGGAGCAGATTGCAGAATTCAGTATCCACCTTTTAGGGGAGCAGTATGAGGAAGAGCTGCAGGATCCCTCGAGCTCCCACCGCCAGAGCCTTGTAGAAGAGTTTATTTCAGAGGTGGGTGACTTTGGTTTGTTTTTATTCTTTTTTTTCCCTGAAGCAAGACAGTTTTCTTGGGTTGTAAATTTCCCATATTCATAACATTGCTCAAAGGAGGGTTTAGGACTCAAGTTCTCCATCTGCTCGATTCATCGGTGGTGACTTAGCCATTTCTTCAGAAAGCTCTGTGAAAAATTCATAGCAAGACAGATGAGTCATTTCATTGAAACAAAATCTTCATACATTCACCATCTAACAAATAAATGCTGTTTCCAACTTTTGCTGCAAAGCCAAGGGAGAATGTGTTTCATGGCATGGTTTTTTAACTTACCAGTATTTGGAGAAATGAGCATCTTTGAGAAACTAGATACAATGTAGTGTTTTCTTTAGGAAACATTAAATTAGACTAGCCCACAACTTTCCTTCTGGAAGAATTCTATATAGGGCTTGAACTCAAGGTTCGTTCCATCGAAAATGACCATGCTTGTCTCCCTTCTCATGTCCCTGGTGGTAAGGCACTGAGTGCCCATCTTCCCTCCCTGCCCAGTTAATAGGACACACCATTCCTTCCTGTTTACTTCTTCCATTCCCTCTCAAGGAGGTTCTTCTTGGCCACGTTTTTCAATTCCATTACCTTGGACTAATTTCCTTCCCTAGACACTGTGTCTAGATGAGAAATAAAAATATGCACCTCCCAGCCACGCAGCATCATTGTAGCCATCAGACACCGGCATGTAGGCCAGACGATTAATTTTCCTAGCTGTGTGGCCAAGTTGTGAGGTGTGTGGAATGTGGAAGAAATGTCAGCCAGGCCAGTGGACCCTGGCATTGGACAATGTCTTAGATCAGCTGTCTGGCTTTCTCTGCCCTTGGATTAAAGAACCGTTAATAAGCCTCAGTGTTTGGGTAAACAAATGTACCGCATATTTAGAGGTCATCCAATAAACACTGAAAAACATCTCCAGTGAAGACTTTAGGAGGTAGGCAGCTGTTGGCTTGAGGTGTTTTGAAGGTAATGAAGAGTCTGGGCCTACCTTGAAACAGTTCCTTCCCTGGCCTGTCTCCGCATCCCCTCTCCCTCCACCTGGAACCAAATGTCTGCCAGTAGCCACACGTGGCCCATCTTTGTGTGGAGCAGCAGCGTCTGGGGGCGAGTCTCCGAAAGGTCCTCTCTCCATGTTTACTACAAACAGAAGGGGTCCGTCCCTCAAGCTCTCTGCCTGCAGGGCACAGTCACAGGGATTGCTCCTTCAATATTATTGCTTAGGTAGTGTTGGAGGACACACAGAGGAAAAAACAAAGCCTGCTTGGGGTATTGAGGTTCAGGAGCTCCTCCTACCCCCGTCCTCCTTCCTTCTTCCTTCCTTCTTCCTTCTTCTCCTCCCCCTCCTTTCTTCTTTTCATGAGGTGAAGAGTAAGCATAAGATAAGCTTGGGACAACGCCACGTGTGACATCAGAGAGGGAAGCCAGCCACAGTCTGAGCACAGACAGGGTCCTGGCACACTGCTTCGTGTTCTGTAGGCGGTTGGGTGTCCTGCTTGCCAACGGCAGCCTTGTGGGTGCGTGCTTCCATTTCACACGTGAGGCCCCGGAGGTTAAGTAACTTGTTCATGGTCATTTCAGCTTCTAGGAGTGGAAGGGGAAATCAGATCACACCTTGTTGTCAGAGTGTTGCTTTCTTTGTGTCATGCAGAGCCCCCTTCATCCTAACTTAGGTGAGAAGTTGTGGTGGGCCTCACTGATTCTCAGTCCTGGTTCTAGTTCTCAGCTGCATTTATTGTGTGTCAGGGGAAAGAGGAAGAGACATGAGATTCAATGAGAAAAATACAGAATTTGGTGTTAGATTTCAATTAAATAAATTCTGATTCAGTCACTTACCTAATGTAGTACCAGGGGGCAAGTTAGTTGACATATAAGAGTCTCAGTTTTCTCATCTATAAAATCCAGAAAATATGTATCTCTTGGGATTGTTGCAAGGATTAGAAGTAACACTGCAAAGCACTAAGCACACAGCGGTCACTCAGTACCTGGTACCTATTATTAATCTTGATGTTAGTAAAGTGGAGTGACTTTGTACAACCGAACACCTGTGAAGTAACTAACTGGATATGATGGATTAGACTCTCTATGTATTTAGACTCAAGAGATGGCAAAGCTTAAAGTAAGATGAGTTTAGTAATAATAATAATGTGCAATTATACATTTTACAGTTAATGGAGTACTTTCAGCTACATTCATTTTAATCTTACAAAAGCTGATGTGGTTGGTGAGCAGGGCAGCATTAGTTTTAGAAAAGAGACACACACAGCCCCTTTCCCAGCAAAAACAGCCGGGAATTTATCCCTCAGTCTTCAGATTCCTTGTCCTGAGGGTCCCATCCCGACCCCCACCTCTAAGAATTATAGCACGACTCTCTTCTCAGAGAATAAACAAAGCAAATTATTATAGTCAGAAAGTTGCATGTGTTTGGATTCTTTATTCTTAAGGCATGAAGATATTCAGTGAACCAAAATTTATTTGTTTGCTTATTTATTTCAATTATAATGATATCCAATATTATATTAGTTTCAGCTCCACAGCATAGTGGTTAGACATTTACATAACTTACAAAGTGATCACCCCAATAAACGTAGTACCCACTTGCCACCATACACAGTTATTACAATATTGTTCACTATATTCCCTATGCTGTGCTTTACATCCCCAAGACTGTTCTGTAACTACCAATTGTACTTAGTAATCCCTTCACCTTTTTCATACCCACCAAACCCATCTCCCATTTGGCAACCATCAAAACATTCTGTGTGTCTATGACTTTATGTTTTGTTTGAAACCCAGACTTTTTAAAAATGATACTCTCCTGATTATATGAGGGCTTGGTTTTAGAAGCAGATGCCTAAAGCTCCACTAATAGTTCCCAAAGTCCACTGACAACTTGCTTCCCTTCTTCCGCTGTTGGCCTCAGAGGACTTATCTGGATCAAATCTTCCAGAATGTGGTAGATTAAATGTTAAATTCTGTTAAACATTTGGTATTTGTGCATAACACGATTATTTTTAGATGTTTAGTCCAGACTAGAATTCCTTTTTTCCTGCTCCAGTCACTAAGCAGATACTGATTTACTTGGTGGGATGCGAAAGACAGTAATAAAACTGGTTCCTGCAGATGGGATGCTCATGAACAGATCTTTCGACCAGTGAAGTTACCCAGTCACTGATTCATAATCTCCATAGGCCTCTCTCCTGGGGGCTTAATCCAGGCCTACAAATTTTTTAAAGAATTGAAAAAATATGTGTTTTGATTTGAGAGAGAGAGGAAGGAGAGAGAGAGAGAATGTGAGAGAGAAACATTGACTGGTTGCCTCCCAGGTGCTCCCCAACAGAGGAGTGAACTCTCAACCTTTTGGTGTACGGGACAGTGCTCTAACCAACTGAGCCACTCTGGCAAGGGCCAGATCTCTTCCTCATGTTGACTGTGTCCACAGTTCTCTTGTATTGTAGGAACAAGAGACAGACACCACGAGACACTTTTAAGAAATGAGCACCCGACTGTTACTGTGTGTGTTGAAGCCAGATTTCTAATCCAAACTATGATATTTAAAAATACTATTATAGCTTCTTTTGAAAATAATGCTTTTTTTTTTTCACATTTCACCATGTAAGGGAAAAAACAGTGCTTTGCCAATACGATGCATGCTTTTTATACTTTGAACAAAAACTAATATTAAAGCATATTAGAAACTTAAAAGACAAAATAATAAACTGTATTAGTGTTGTCGTAAACAGTATTTTCTAACACTGTAATTATTAAAATTTTCTTAATAACTTTTGGATCCATGTGTATCTGTGTATGTATTCAAGATTCTAAGAGTTGTAAACAGTATACTTTATATTCTATTTCTTAAAGTATTATTTGCTGCATCCTTTTCCACATTTCCACATAGTAATACCTTTTATTTTTATTTTTAACAGGTTGAACATGCATTTACTGGGTTACCGGGTTATAAGGACATCCGTGTACTTGACTTCAGGTAAATAGACTTCCTTTAAAAATGCATGTTTAGTAGCATTGTTTATATCAAGTACAGTATCCTTTAGTGTACATTATATACAACAATAATTCAAAATCATTTGAATGCTGTATTTTAATGCTACTTCTGGTAAATTTACATTTCTAATGCTAGTATTTCAGGTGAGAAAACTAAGTTAGCAAAAGGCAAAATAATGTATTCAAGATCTGTATACTAAATCTGAAAATAATAATAATAATAATAATGTATACTACAGGGTCCAGCACAAATAATGCATCATTTTTTTTTACAAAATCTTTTATTACAAAATTGTAAGCATGTAATTCTATAACATAACAGTATCAGAGTTATATAACATAACTCTGAAGCACACCATATGACATTTTAGATGAAGTGCTCAAATTAAAAGTATAAATTATTACACCCATGTTATTACCCTGCCAACCGCACTCAAACAGGCCTTACTGCTGCTGGACCCTGTATATCTAGTAGTACAATAATGCATACTGGATTTGAAGTGGGGCCAGGGTAAGAACTTAGGAATTCATGTCTCCACCTTGTTGCTGGCATGTTCCACTACTGTTATTTGGCACTGAGGGGTGCCTGTAGTCAGATTAGGTGTGACTTCAAGTCCTACTAAAGCTTGTCAGTGTTCCATTGAGGTGACTTGGAGCTCCTGATGTAAGGCGACTCTGCATTCACCTTCTTTTCTAACATAATAGTTCTGAGTAAATCAGAGACCTCTTTTGAAGGCATTTCTTCCCTGCTTAAGCCATGCTGTACAATACCTGTGAACATTGAGTGAATACTTTGCATTAGGACCTTCACATTCCTGAGCTCACTTAATCTCCAGTACTCTCAGAATAAATATTATTAGTAGTACTCATTTCAAAGAGAAGCAAACAGGTTTAAAGGGATGAAGTTTGAGCCCAGAGTCAGAGAACCTGTAAATTAGCTTATAAATTTGAAACAAATGGTTGACTTTATAGCTCTTTGCTTTATTAATAAATAAATATTAAAGGCTATGCGATATCCTATAGGTTAGTCAGTCCTGGCCTTTTCCAGCCCCTTAGAACTTTATTGTATATCACCTGATTTTTCATTTATTTCAGTACTATAATAACACATCATATCTCCCCAAAAGTGTTTCCAATTTTGTTGATGCCAACTACTGGAGTCCCCTGCCGACTTACTGAAAAAATTTATTTATAAAGATAAGCTTATATGAATTATTTTAAAAGCATTTTAATAAAGTTTAAAGATAGTAAACACTATTTATTTTAAAATAGAACATGTTCTCCACCTTTGCTCACTTCCTGAAACCCACCAGAATTTGATAGCTTCTGATACTATGCACACATTTTCATTTAAAAGAAACATTTCAGAGGAGATATATTAAGAAGTTGTACTTTGATGAATTATGTGGCAAATGTAACTGTTTTGAGATCTGCTTAACACTTTCAATTTTTATTTTCAGGTCCCCCAAGGAAAATGGCAGGTAGAGTACATTTTGGTACTTTCTATGCTACCCAGTGAATGAGCAGTTGGTTTAGAAAAGGCGGTAGACCTAGGTTCAAGGGAGCCTGTCTCAATCCTTTATCACTTCCAGCATCAGCAACCATCTTCGAACAGATCAGGGGTTTACAGAATTTTTCTGTTAAGGTTCGGATAGTAGATATTTTAAACTTTTCAGGCTGTATGGTCTCTGTTGCAGCTGCTCAGCGGCCACTCTCGGATGAAAATGGATGCAGGCAATGCGTTGAAAACAAATGAACGTGGCTGTGTTTGAATAAATCTTATTGCAGACACTGAAATAGAAATTTCATACACTTTTCACATGTTACAGAATGTTTTTCTTTAGATTTTTTTCAACCATTCAAAAGCATAAAATCCATTGCTTGGGGACCATAGGCTGGGTTTTGCTCATGGGCTGTGGTGCACAGACCTCTCTTACAGACTGGTAACCGACAAGTTCTCGTAAGTGGGGATGGGGCAAATGTTGGTTTACAGCTGTGAGTATGTGAAACAAAGTTCCCTCTTGTGTTATTATTTACTAATTATTGTGTTATTCCCATAAAGACAACTGTAAACCTACTTTTGATCCACCTGTGTTGAGTAACACTCAACTTAAAATAGGAATAAAAACTTGCATTAATGTGAACACTTTCAAGTATGCTATGCATTCAATAATACAATCAAAAGTCACTTAAATGGTAAATAAAGGGAAGAAAGCTGATCTTTTTAAGAGTTCATTTGCAAAAATAGCTGATCTCCAGAATTTTTTACAGGAAGCATAGTCAATACCTGTGGTGAAGGTTGCTTGTCATTTTTTTTTGCCTTTGGATTCTAAACTTATTGAAACTTTACTTTCTCTTGGAAGATTGATAAATATAATATAGAATTTATGAAGTGTATTCATAGGCTAACTATGGGCATGTTTACCTTATATTTGGAAAAGACTTTCTGACTTCTTCATTTTTGTTTATATCATTTTAGCAAGTATTTACTGCGTGCCTACTAATTAGGCAGATCCGTGTGTCTACAGAAACTAGTACCTGTTGGCATCCATTGTCTAGGAACCCAGTAAATGGATTCCAATGAAAAATGAAAAGTGAAAAGTATTTTCAGAGATATGTCAAAGTACTGGATTTAAAAAATTTTTTCATTTTACTTTTTTATGTCCCTGTGGGATAGTGAAAATGAGAATTAATATTCATTCTATTTTGGCGGTGAGGAAATTTTGCCTCAGAGGGGCAAATTAATTTGCTGTAAGTTATGTGACTGGGAGTTATCAGATGTTTTGACTGAGGTGATCAAAATTTGGGCTTCTGTGCTCTGAGTATGTGTGAAGTGCTCTGTGTGTGTATATCGAAGGTGTATGTGTTGCTAGTCTATACTCAGCCAAAAGCCTGACTATTTAACTGCTGCCCCCTTGTCAACATGTACAACAACCCAAACTCTACCGTTACCCATGATCAAAAGAAGAATATCTGGTTGCTGAGTGCTAAGTTCTTTCTAGGGACACAGACAACAATTCAATATGAAGCCATTAGATTTTCTAGGTACAATTTCCAAAACTGTTCAGTATTGTCAGGTACTGGGCAGTTGATGAAATTAATATATAACTTTTTGGTATACTTTTATTCTGAGCTGTGTATTAATGAATGCATGGCACAAAAATAGTCTGTTTACATGATACATAATCTCTTTCTAGACATTTATAAACATTACATGTTATAAACATAACAAAATATTATAGGCATAAACATTTATATGCATATGAAATCTTCTGTTTGCTTTCTACCCCTTTCAAGATGCACACATTATGTTAAGTTAGTAGGACTCATTGAAGTGATTCAACAACATATTTGCCTGGTGTACACACTTCAAAAATTCAGTTCCAGACTCTGTAAGTGTATCTCTTCTTCTTAATAGAAGTTTCATAGAAGAAGGGATATCTGAGTTTCTGCGGACACTGAATGCAGTGTCCGCAGCGTTATGGGTGAGACGAGATACATTGACATGGACCGTCAAGTCCTGTGGAGGAAAAGAGACAGCACGGCCACTCTCTCAAGAGGAGAGCACCCAGCCCTTGCCTTGACAAGCTTTTATTGGATTCAATTTGCACAGGAGTAAAGCTCATCAATCATTGTGACACAGAAATGATTAAACAATAGATAACAATCAAAGAACTCTGATAGTAGAAGGGCCATAAAACTTTGGGGAACAAACTCATTTCCTGCTTGGTTCCTTGTTATTTAAATTGAGGGTATTAGCAAAGTAGGCTTCACAAGATTTTATGTATTCTTTCTTAGGCCTGATACCCCTAGGGAACCTGCCCTTTCCAGCACAGGGCTGTACCCACCTCCAGCAGTATTTCAGGCTTAAGTCAGGAAGGGGGAGTAAGGCAGCCAAGACATTAGGAGACTTCTTACAGACAGAATGAGGACTCAGGCTATGGAAAAGCCTAGGGGCAAGGGTCCATCACCCCCTTTTTCTATAGCCCCCCAAGTCTTTCCCTGAGGGCCCCTATGATCATGCCTGTCTTAGGTTGTCCCTCTGTTGAGGAATCTTACCCATCATTGTCTAAGCAAGCAAGCACTAGGGGCCAGGTAGGGTGAAATAAAAGGAGTGCCCCCGCCAGGGAGATAAGATTCGTCTCCTCAGTGGCTTCTGGTCTGAAGGTCGTTCACTCAGCCTTAGCCATAGGGGGGTTACAGCTCCTGAAACCAGGCAGGGTGATTCCCAAAAAGTTTCTCTGAAATATCTTTATTTTGATTAATCTTTTTTTAAAATTATTTTGATTAATCTTAATGTGATGGGGGTTGCATTTTTTTTTCTATTTAAAATCTGTGGATGTCAAATAGCCAACAAGGGCATTGGAGATGAGAGAATGAGATAGGGTAAGTTTCACCTCCATGTGATTGAAATCTCTGGAAAGAGCGGTAGACAGAGAAACTTCCCTCTTTAAAGCAGGTGTTTCAGTCTAGTTTGAAAGATGAAAGATGACAGATGGTTCGTGCTGGTTGGTTACCTTGGACTTGTCAGTGCAGAGAGCTGGCACAGCTCTCTTCAATCAGATCATGTTTGTCTACCAGCGTGCTTTTGGCTTCTTAGGCACTCTCTGGGCCTCCTGGCTCTCTTCTATTCTGTCACCATTTCCGTACCCCATTTGCCACGCCAGAACTCAGTCTATTCTGAGTCACAGTAAAGTGCTTGGCTCTGAGAATAGTTAGTTTCCTGATACCTCAAGTATTTCTTTGAGTTTTCTTTTCAGGATAAAAATATGGTGCCCTGGCTGGTGTGGCTCAGTGGATTGAGTGTCGGCCTGCAAACCCAGGGGTGGATGGTTTGATTCCTGGTGGGGCACATGCCTGGGTTGCAGGCCAGATTCTTAGGTAGGGATATGAGAGGCAACTGATCTATGTATCTCTGGCACACTGATGTTTTTCTCCTTTTCCCTCTCTGTAAAAATAAATAAATAAAAATCTTTAAGAAAAAACCCCCAAAGGTAATAAATTGCAGCATCTCTCTGAGGATTTTTATCTTCTTTAGTTAATTTATCATCACTAGACAAAGTAGATCATAATAGAAGTGTTATTTTTAAATGTTCAAGGGAAACATTTGGGAGACAAATTTTATTTTGCTAATAAAAAGTAAGGCCAGTAATCTAACCCAGACTTCCTGATTTGCATAGATTTCTTGATCCACGAATATTTCTCTTGATCTCTGTATATTTACAAAGATAAATATACATGGTGTGCCATGGTGCCATGATGTGCCTTCCATGATGTGCCATGGAAGGCACATCATAGGCTCCCAGTGAAGGCTTGCCTCTCCTTTTCTGATTTTCTCATGGCCCAGAAGCCCACTCAGGTGCTAACTGGTACAGCCTTTTCTTGTCCAGTGTTTCCTTGTGGCTCCATGGTTGCGGATCCATGGTAACATGCTACTGTGTTGTGGAAAGACCCCCGGAGAAGTCCAGCTGTCTGTGGATACAGGCATGGTCCATTCCGCAGAGCTTGGGAAGAACGTGCCCATGTTCACAGGGTTGGGTTCTGGCTATGAAGCCATGTCTCTAAATTATTACTCAGAAGACACAATTGTATGACGAAAATATGTGTACTTTTTAGGGTAAAAAATTACTCTTTCATATTTAGAAACTAAAAATCCTTTGGATTAAGTAAGGAATATCACATACTGTCATTTAAGTGGTATAAACTCAGTTTTCTTGTCTCCCTGTATTAGTGAATAAAATCACCCATTTGTTTTTTCAATATTTTCAAATATATTTATTGAACTGCTGTGAGCCAGGCATTGTGCTAGATGCTGCAGACACATCTGGTGTAGCAAGTTTCGACCAGTAGGTGGCCCTCTTACTGTTTTATTCCACGTTGGAGCCATCATTTGGTTATTTTAGCATATTTTACTGAATTTATTTCTCTACAAAAAAAATTTCAGAAATTACACATGAATCAACATATGCTGACATGAAAAATTAAGTGGTCGAGGGACATTATAGATGACAAGCAGATGTCTTACCATTTAGAGCAGCAGGTGTCAAAATGCTCAGTTACCAATTTAAAGTACCCAAACTGCCCCATTGGAAGTGGAAGCTTATCAGATCTGGGAGGAAAACCTTACTGAAATTACTCAGAGTGAAACAGGAAATTCAGAAAGGCCTGGCTGCTTCAATGGCAGGTGAAGGATGTCACTTGCAGCCAGCAGGCCCAGGGCAGGTCCAGCACTGGGAGAGGTCTCCTTAAGGTCAGTGTTGTGGCTTCCCAAACCACAGAATACACTGCATTTTCTAGGTTGCCAATTGATCTATTTCATGGGAGAAATGGATCTGCCAATTGACCAGTTATCGCATTAGCTGGCTTATGCATTCTTTTTCCATTGGAAAATCTGATCAAAAGTGCCCTTGGCAAACTTGAAATCTGAAAAAGGAAGTTGGTGATTTTAGTGGCCGGTATTGTCAAGCCATGCCAGCCTGTCATAGGTGTCCACGGTTTAGGGATCTGCCTCATGAGGAAGCCACAATACACTGGTGAGAAGGACTGCACATTTTTCCCAGACGCCATGAGACCATCGTCATTATGTTGATACTTTTTCTTCAGGTATGCGAATACCTTCATTAGGCTGCAGTTTTCTTTTTATATTCAGATAAGTATAGGTTTCTGTTCGTTTAATAGGTACTGAGTACCTCTCAGTCCCAGGCACCAAGCTGAACACTGGTGATAGAAACTGAAGAAGAAACCGAAAGGCAGTCACTGCAAACACAATCTTTTTTTTACAAAACAACCAAGCCTATAATCAAGGAATATATAAGAATACATAAATAAGTTCAGAGGCAGGAGTACTTTATTTTTATGCTTAGGTTTGGGAACCATTTTGCTTCTACAGGATGGTGGTGGAAACCATGTTTTTTGAGACTCGCTCTCTAGGTCTAATGTTTGTTCTCTCCGGGTTCATAGCTCCTGCCCTTGTGCTCCCTTAGCAGGGCCTAAGCTGTTGCCTCTTTCCACAGTGGCACAGATGTTCACTATGAAGTTACCTTCAATGGTGAGGTCATCAGCAATACCACCTGGGACTTGATCAGCCTTCACTCCAACAAGGTGGAGAACCATGGTCTTGTGGAACTGGATGATAAACCCACCGCTGCCTATACAATTAGTAACTTCAGAGATTATATTGCTGAGACTCTGCATCAAAATTTTTTGCTGAGGAACTCCTCTTTGAATCCAGATCCTGACTCCCTGCAGCTTATCAATGGTGAGTTTGATATCGATGATGAAGTCCTTAGATAGTTTCACACATGTTCTGGTAGAAACTAGTTTCCCCAAATATATGTGGTTCTGAGCATTCTCTAGACTGCATGAGATAGGAGCCATCCTGGTATGAATGGAATGCTAGCCATGCAGCTATTTGGGATAGATTAATCAAGGGCTCTCTGGAATACTTGCAGACAGAAGTCCACTCTTTGTGGAGAACAGCATGATAACTAGAAATAGTTTAGAGATACAGAAGCAAAGTATTAGAAAAATTAGAGAGTACCTGGAAGTATGACTGGAAACAGTCTGTAGTGCTGCCCCAGCAACCAAGACAATAACTCTCCAGGGGCAACTCAGCTGAGAAAGGCTTAAAAGCCAGACAGAGAGCAGGAGAAGGAGCCGCTCAGGAAAGCTGATAGAAGACCATGGTCAAAGAGGAACTGATACTGGGCGCTGGCCAGAATCCCAGAGAATCCAATGCTAAGTTTGAATGAAGATAGCTGTAGAGACCCAGTTATGATCCAAGATTAACATGTGGAGCTGGGGTCAGCAAGGAGAGGGTGACTGCTCTGAATTTTGAGGCTAAAAAGTGACCTAGTCAGCCTGGGACTAAAGTTTGCTGAGTCTGGTTACCAGTGTGCAAGAGCAGAACTCATCAGAAACATGGAGTCCTGTTAATTAATTGCTACTTCATGTTTACTTCTCCACAATTTCTTCCTTCCTTCCTCCCTCCCTCCTTCCTTTCTTTTCATTTCCCTCCCCCACCCCCTCCCTTCCTTCCTTTCTTTTTTCCTCACCCCAGCATATTTTCATTGATCTTTGAGAGAGAGGAAAGGAAGGAGAGAGAAAGACATCGATGTGAGAGAGAAACATCGATCATTTGCCTGCTGTATGCACCCCTGACTGGGGATTGAATCCATGAACTAGGTATATGCCCTGACCTGGAATTCAACCTGCAACCTTTTTGTTGTATGGGACAGTGCTCCAACCAGCTGAACCACCCAGCCAGCGCTACTTCTCCACAGTTTCTTCACTCAGTAGTTTAACTTTTAAAATGTCCAGAGTATATTTTACTGAAGTGAGCACATAGGAAAAGTACCAGTTGCCAAGGAAGAAAATCCACAAGTGAGAGGCAATCCTAACAATGACACATTTTTACAGCCTCTCCAACTGCTACACATCTTGAAGGGAAAAGAAGCCTCTTTATTTTTAGGCACTACTACCTAGGCTGTGTGTGTACATGTGCGTGGGTGCATGTGCATGTGTGTATAAACAAAAGTAGACACAAGGGAGAAAGAAAAGAGAAAAAATTAAAGTATATTTTATTGATTATGCTATTACAGTTTTCCAAACTCCCCCCCTTAATTCCCCCTCTGCCCTGGACCCCCTAACCTTCCAGCATTCTTCCCCCTCAGTTCATGTCCATGGGTTGTACATATAAGTTCTCTGACTTCTGTGTTTCCTATACCATTCTTAACCTCTCCTCATCTATTTTATGCCTACCAATTTATGCTTCTTGTTCCCTGTACTTCCCCCCATTCTTCTCCTCCCCCTCCCCACTGAAGACCCTCCATGTGATGGCCAATTCTCTGATTCTCTTCCTATTCTAGTTGCTTGCTTAGTTTTTTTTTTTAGGTTCAGTTGTTGATAGTTGTGAGTTTGTTGTCATTTTACTGTTCATAGTTTTTGATCTTCTTCAATTTCTTAGATAAGTCCCTGTAACATTTCATATAATAAGGGTTCAGTGATGATGAACTCCTTTAACCTGACCTTATCTGGGAAGCACTTTATCTGCCCTTCCATTCTAAATGATAGCTTTGCTGGATAGAGTCATCTTGGATGTAGGTCCTTGCCTTTCATGACTTCAAATACTTCTTTCCAGCCCTTTCTTGCCTGTAAGGTTTCTTTTAAGAAATTAGCTGATAGTCTAATGGGAACTCTTTTGTTAGTTACTGTCTCCTTTCCTTTTGCTGCTTTTAAGATTCTCTCTTTATCTTAATCTTGGGTAATTTAATGATGATGTGCCTGTATGTGTTCCTCTTCAGGTCTGATTTTTTGGGGATTCTCAGAGCTTCCTGGACTTCCTGAAAGTCTGTTTTCTTTGCCAGATTGGGGAAGTTTTCCTTCATTATTTGTTCAAATAAGTTTTCAATTTCTTGCTCTTCCTCTTCTCCTTCTGGTACCCATATGATTCAGATTTTGGAACATTTAAAGTTGTCCTGGAGGTTCCTAAGCCTCTCCTCATTTTTTTTGAATTCTTGTTTCTTCATTCTGTTCCAGATGGATGTTTATTTCTTCCTTCTGGTTCAAATCATTGATTTGAGTCCCAGTTTCCTTCCCTTCACTGTTGGTTCTCTGTAGGTTTTGCTTTATTTCACTTTGGGTATCCTTCATTTGTTCTTTCACTATTCGACCAAGCTCAATCAGTTCTGTGAGCATCTTGATTACCAATGTTTTGAATTCCACCTCAGATAGGTTTGCTATCTCCTCATTGCCTCAGCTCTTTCTCTGGAATTTTGCTTTATTCTTTCATTTGGGTCATATTTCTTTGTCTCGATGTATCAGTCTGGTTGGCTGTTTCTTTAATTTCTTGGTTGTTGGAGCTCCATGCAGTTTGATTTTCTGGCACTTCTGGTTGCTTATTGATTTTAGATTGGTTGGTATTCTTCTTTTGGTTGTACAAGGAAGTGAAGGGTTTCTACCTACAACTCCATCTTGGTCAGAACGCAAAAGAGAAAAAATTTTAACAAAATCTTACTATGATAAGTTCTTACTTCCTAAATAAGATATTTTTGAAGGGCTAAGCTAAAACTTTGAATTACTTTTCAGTTATTTTGGCTGCTGAACATCTGATATCTCTTTAATATGACAGTGTGCTGATATGGAGCTACAGATTAGCCTGGATTTTATATTAGTTACATAGGATTTTAAAGTGGAGAATCTCTGTCTTCAGTGGAGGTAGTGATATTAAGCCATCAATTCTAAGGCTCTAGGGAGCCTTTGTATTTTAGAGCAGTGTGAGTACCCTGGGCTCACTTCCTCTTTTTAGAATATCTATGTAAGATAAAACAGTGAAAAGAGAAGAGGATTGTTGTAGTCTGAAATTGCTGATGTCCTTTTGGCAAAGACAATATGGACTAGCTGGGGGCTACTTATGGTTATAGCATATAGGTAGAAGATTCCAGGAATCTTGGTGCTGGGATTAGAGGAAAGATATAGCTGAGAGGTCATGATCTGAGAGATACGGGAACCTAAACTGAGTAGAAGATGCAAACACCAAAGTCAGGCTGGTAGAATAGTATGAAGATTAAGGTGTGCAATGAGCAAAGTGAGGTTGTTTAGGAACCTAAATCCACAAACAACACAGCAGGGTCTTCCTTTTGTGTGGCGCCTGGGGATGGAACTTCCTCCTAGAAGAAGCCTTCAAAAAGAGGTCGACAGTCCTTTCAGAATTTCCATGCAAGTTCAACAAAAATTTTACGATTTCAGTATAAACTAATTCAGGCATTTGGACCTTTCATTAGATGTACATTTCAATTACTCAGAATTTGGTCCCTCAAATCTATTTCTATTGCCATGCCAACTTCAGAGTTCTGAATAGCTGTAACTTTCTAGGTACATCATCTCAAATAATATGTTCATCTTGATCTCTTACTGCTTGTTTTCCATAGAAGACAAGATAACTGTATACAAAACTAAAAAAGAGTTTTAGAAAATACTTAAAACCAAATAGGGTTTTTGGCTTCTGACAGATTTCTCTATGTCAGTCCAGTAAGAACAGGTGGATAATGAGAGATTCTGCGTCTATTTTTGGTTTACACACCAGCTCACCCTCCTGACAACCAGTTCCTTTTGTTTCTTTTGATTCCTTCTCCCCTTTAGGCAAAATTGATTTCTCCTTTGTCTGAGTTTCCATACATTTTAAATATGCCCCTCTTACCATTTTATAATTTGTATTTATCTCTCTGACATGTGAAAGGCTTCCACAGGAGACATTTTATTAACGTTTATAGCCTCAGTTGCGTCCAAGTGTGCAGTAACCAGGAGGATTCAGTAAATTTTTGTTAAATTAAATTGTACAGTCTACTCCTTTAACTTTAGGGCTCTTTCATGTTGGTACAATGACAAACCCTCTGGTTGTCAAAGCCCATATTTGAAAGATACTTTCTGCCAGGAAGGAAATCATTTTGCATAATTTTCTTCATTGTTAGTGTTGACCGAATGTGTTGGAACATCCATTTATTTTCTTATTAAAATGAAAAATTAATTTGAAAAGCAACTGCTTCACAGGAATCTTGAAAGGAATAAAAATTGCTTGAGAAAGGAGAGGAAATAATATAGGAGTGTCCTGAATGTAATAATTAGAAGAATATTTATATTAGAGTCTTATGGTGCTAATGTAAGTAAAATATCTGAATAAAGTAGCAAGCATTTTCTAAGCAAGCCTGCCTCATCTGTTCTGCCCAATTTAAACTATGAAAAGGAAGAAGCTGGTGTTTTGTTGTCCTTGAACCTCAAGTATAATAGCGTCTCAATTAAAAATCTTCTTGAAAACTGTTTTTTCTTCAGTGAGAGGCGTTTTACTTCCCCAAACTGACAACCTGGGTTGGAACACCCAAAGCTCAAGTCTTCCAGCAACCCCACCACCTATTCTGGTAAGTGTGTTTCTACATTGTATGCCTAGGACAAGGCCCCCAAGCTTCTCTTCATCGTACCCTCCCCTGTTTACTTTGGCATCACTAATTTCCTGAGCTGTTTCTACTTCAAATATTCTCTTACATCATCCCTGGAACGTTATTCTTAGTTGTCAGCTCATGGGTCCCAAGTATTGGGTTAGAAAATGTAAGCTTTCTGCAGTAGTTAAATAAAAACCACACATTTGGCATTGCCAAACTCCACACATCATAGAAAACTTATTTATGGTTCATACTTGTTTGGTGATAATTAAGCTATAAGTGTCCATTGAGTTGTTCTTTAAAAGCTACACAGAAATAGTTTTCATGGCCAAGACAAATACATTGCCATACATGGGTACAGAGCATAAGTTTTTGTTCTAAGGATTGTATTGAAGAAAAAGTGTAGACTCCACAGCGTATAGAGCAATGTGTGTATGGAAAGGAGAGAAGAAAAGATAAAAATATTGGCTAACCAACAAATGACAGGGACTCTAAATCAGGCCTCCTTTTAACTTGGGCGGAAACCATCAGGATTTGTATAGAAACGGCATGGGATAAACTTTCCTTTTTGTTCTCATCACTTAACACCCCGGGGCACTCTCTATCCCTGCATGCCTCCACTTGCTGCCTTAGCTATGAGGAGTTGTTCATCAGAAAAGAAAGTGGCTTCTGCGAGTGCAGTGAAAACAACAGCGATAACCACCACAGCCATAACCCACTAGAGACTCACCTGTCCAAAGTGAGCACACGATGGTTCATCACCACATAGACGCAGGAGAGGGAGACCTCTTCCACGCCCCCACTCCTTCTACCCTCTCCAGGCTTCTTTTCTGTCTCATTGTGACAGAAAAGAAATTAGTGGTGATTACCTTGAAATACTTGCTTCTTGGCATTAATCCAGCAATGAAAATTTAGAAAGTCTGTCCAAACCTAACCATTAACATATGCAGCCATTTCTTCTACTCACTTATAGAGCAACTCAGTTTTTAAAAGTGAAATTACTGGGAAGAGCTTTTTTTTGCCAAATTCCATGTTAGATAAAAAGGGCTGGTGGAGGGGGATTGACATCAGAGATTTCACTCATTGGTGTTTGTTTATTCATTTACTAGTTCATTCTTTCAAATATATTTATTTTGTGCTTTTCATGTGCCAAGTGCTGGGAAAACTAAGATGAATAAGGTGCGGCCTTGCCTACAGGAAGTTTCCAGTCTGGTAGAAGTAGACAGGCTCCTACACAAATAAAGTCCGTCCAGGGTGCAGTGGCGTGGAGTGTGATTCCCTCTGAACATGCTCCCACTAGTCTCTGTTTCTGCTCATCACATCCAGCTTGGGGCTCCTCTAAACACAGAAGATCTGTGGTGATGTGTGAATTATGAAAACAGGTGTTTCTTTATAAGCCAGGGGTTGCAAACCAGAGACCAGGCAACTGGACCCAGATACAGGCATGTGCTTTGGGGCCAAAGTTTTACAAAGCCAATATTTAAAAAGTAGGAGACTTTTTTTGCATAGAAATGCAGATTTCCAACTTCCTTTAAAGACCAGAAAGATCTGGCATCGTCAAGTTCACATTTCCCTGTTGCAGAAAGTGGCGAGAGCTTGGCTGGAAGGGGAGGCCCCTTCCATGATGACGGCACTGACTGCCTGGACCCATCTGCATTGCCTGGTCTGTGGTTCCATTCTCATTGAAGCCAGACCTTTAGTTTTTTTGGATATTGGTATCTGTAGGGCACCAATTAACAATTTGAGGAGACAGTGTTAATGGATGATAGTAAAGCATGAAAATAAGAATGACTAATTAGAAGTGTTTTGTTATTGCTCCTTTTTTGTGGTTTTCTTTGTGGCAAACTGTTAATGAGATTTTTTTATTTTAATTTTTTTTATCATATTTGATTTTTAGAAATTATTTTAGAAGTAGGAATGTCAGGGTATTGGATTTGATGCATTTTGGCATTCTGACTTGGAAAATCACTTTTTGCACTATATGCTTTCTATAGCAGTAGCAGGCTTTTCAAGTGGCATTAGCAGAAGTGAAAGTGGCCAATGTAGAATTAAACTTGTTAATATACTGAACTAAAAGAAAAATTTATGAGTTGAATTAGTTACTATGGGGACATTTATTCATATAAAAATAAATGAAGTGCTACTCCTGGCATGTACGTATTCACCTTCCAAACGTATGAGAGAGCTTTGTTGCCGTGCCTGTTTTGGGGTGGGGGTGGGGTGTAGTTACTTGGAATAGATGGCCTTCCTTCTGTATTTAAAGAGTGGGGTTGTTTGCTTCCACATTTTATGTTTCTTACTTGTGACTTGACTTTTATTAAAGATACTGTCCATTGTTTTATTTTTAACTTTTATGAACGAAAAGGCATTTAGTTTATAGAAATCTGTACACAGCTTGAAGGTTTCTTTTTCATTGGGAACTCGGCCACTTTACTGCTGTGAGTCAAGTCGTGGGCTCTGTCTGATTTTCTTAAGTGCAGTTAAAGGGCTTATGCCCTCTCACTCGGAATTCTGAAAAAATACAGATTTGGAGTTTGTGAGGATCTAAATACATCTAATGCAACAGGAAGCAAAAGTGGTTTTAACGCATCTCTAGAGGTGGTTTTTAGATAACTGGGAGGAAAAAAGTGAATTCCCTGGTATGGAATGATGGTCATCATCATAACCACTTTTTCAGGAACAGAACTTGGTCTTGAGCAAATGGCCTTCTTACTTTTCCCTGAATACACATTCATTTTAGATATTAGAAGAAAAAATGGGGAAGAAAATCTTTTTTTTATATGAACAGCCTCCATATTCAACAGAACAGATATTTAAATATTAAGAAATGGCCTCTCCCCTCTCCCATCCTGTACTCTGTGTTCACCTGGGTCTTGCAGATTTGTGCACCCAGGCAGTTCTTCCTTGAATGAGAGTAAGCGGTCACGTCTGTTAGTACTAGTTTCTCTTTTGGGAATCTCTTTGCCATCTAGGTATCTACATGTGAGTATATCTTTCAGTGAATAGTCTGATGTAGTGGGCAAAGTTCTGGAACTCAGAACGCTGGAAATTCACAATCTAGTTCTAATTTTTTTCTCAATTTTTTTTTTGTGACCACAGGCATTTCACTTTTATAAACCTCAGTTCCTTATCTTTAACAGGCAAGGATGGACGACATGACTCTTAAGAGCCCTCCCCGTTCTCAGACTTGGAGCTTTGTGTCAGACACAAGCACATGCTCAGGCCCCCTTTCCAACATTAGGATTTTATAAACCGGAGGACGGCCTTGTCAGGCACCTGAGCCGCTGGCAAGACAAAAACTGGTGTTGCTACTTAATTTTTTCTTCCATATTCTGGACTTCAATTTGTTGTCTTTTTATTTATCAGAAATTAAATTCTTCTCTCTTCCCCTTGTCTATTTTTCCCTTTCCCCAGTCATACAGAAATATAATCAACACATAACATTGTATAAATTTAAGATGTCCAATGTAATGTTTTGATATGTATTGTGCAGTGCTTACCAGAGTAGAAAGTTAACCCCTCTGTCACTTTACATAATTACCAACGTGTGTGTGTGTGTGTGTGTGTGTGTGTGTTGAGAACATTTAAGATTTACTTTCTAGGCATTATTGTTAAGTGTAGTCATGATGTTGTACATTGGATGCCCAGACCTTAATCATCTTCTAACTGTAAGTTTGTACCTTTGGCAAGTTTGTTGAGAGCTTTCTTTTATCATGAAAGGGTATTTCATTTTGTCAAATGCTTATTCTGCCTATGTTGACATGATCATATGATTTTTTTATCATTAATTCTATGAACGTGGTGCATTACACTCTTTATTTTTATTATAATATATAGTAGGACTGGTAAACACATTATTACTGTTTTATGTGCATTGGCCTATAGTTTTGTTTTCTTGTAGTGTCTTTGGGTTTGGTATCAGGGTAATGCTGGCTTCGTAAACTGAGTTTGGGAGTATCCTTTTCTGTTCAATTTTTGGGGACAGTTTAAGAAGGATTGGGATTAATTTTTCTTTAAATATTTGGTATAATTCACTGGCAGAACCTCTGACCCTGGATTTTCTTTGTGAGGAGGTTTTTTTTTTTTTTTTTAAATTATTGATTTAGAACTTCCAGCCAAGATAAAGTTGTAGGTAAATATGCTTTGCTTCCTCACACAACCTAGGACAACAACTAATTTAAAACAACAAAAAAACCAGAACTGCCAAAAAATCAAACTGTATGGAATTTTTGGCAACCAAGGAGTTAAAGAAGAAATGTTCATCCAGACTGGTAGGAGGGGTGGAGATAGGCAGCCAAGTGGAAAGGATGCACAGCAAGGTGGCAGCGCAGGTGAGGTGACGACTGGTGGACTGTGCAGTCCCACATTTGCGTGAGGATAAACCTGGAAGAACAATGGGGGAACGAGATAGGCCGTACAACTCAGGGTTCCAGTGGGGGAAATAAAGCCTCAAAACTTCTGACTGAAAAAAACCCGTGAGGGTTTCAGTGCTGGGAGAAACTCCCAGCCTCACAGGAGAGTTCGTTGGAGAGACCCACAGGGTCCTAGAATGGACACAAACCCACCCACCCGGGAATCAGCACCAGAATGGCCCAGTTTGCTTGTGGGTAGTGGGGGAAGTGACTGAAAGCTGGCCAGGAGCCAAGCAAGCAGCACTGTTCCCTCTCAGACCCCACCCCCAGAGACAGCACTACAATTCAACAAAGGAGGTTGTCCTGCCCTGGCAAATACCTAAAGCTCAGCCCCTTATAACATCTGAATTGTACTGAGACAAAGAAATAGGGCCCAAATGAAAGAACAAATCAAAACTCCAGAAACAGAACTAAGCAATGAAGAGATAGCCAACCTATCAGATGCAGAGTTCAAAACACTGGTAATCAGGATACTCACAGAATTGGTTGAGTATGGTTGCAAAATAGAGGAAGAAGTGAAGAAAATGTATAGGGAACCAACTATGAAGGGAAGGAAACCAAAACTCAAATCCATGATTTAGAACAAAAGGAAGAAATAAACATCTAACCAGAACAGAGGAAAGAAACAAGAATTAAAAAAACAAAAAACAAACAAACAAAAAAAACGAGGAGAGGCTTAGGAACCTCTGGGACAACTTTAAACATTCCATTATCCAAATTATAGGCGTGCCAGAGGAAGACCAAGACATTGAAAACTTATTTGAAAAAATAATTAAGGAGACCTTTCCTAATCTGGCAAAGGGAATAGACTTCCAGGAAGTCCAGGAAGCTCAGAGAGTCCTAAAGAATTTGGACCCAAAGAAGAACACATTAAGACATATCACAATTACATTACCCAAGATTAAAGAGAAGGAGAGAATCTTAAAAGCAGTAAGAGAAAAGGAGACAGTTACTGACAAAGGAATTCCCATAAGATTATCAGCTCATTTCTCAAAAGAAAGCTGGTGGGCAAGAAGAAGCTGGAAAAGAAGTATTCCAAGTCATGAAAGGCAAGGACCTATATCCAAGATTACTCTATCCAGCAAAGCTTTCATTTAGAATGGAAGGACAGATAAAGTGCTTCCCAGATAAGGTCAAGTTAAAGGAGTTCTTCATCATCACCAAGCCCTTATTATATGAAATGTTAAAGGGACTTATCTAAGAAAAAGAAGAAAACTATGAACAGTAAAATGACAACAAACTCACAACTATCAACAACTGAACCTAAAACAAAAAACAAAAGCAAACAAAGCAAACAACTAGGACAGGAGCAGAACCACAGAAATGGAGATCACATGGAGGGTCATCAGTGGGTAGAGGAAGGGGGGAGAATGGGGGAAAAGGTACAAGAAATAAGTAGCATAATTGGTAGGTACAAAATAGATGGGGGGGAGGTCAAGAATAGTACCAGAAATGTAGAAGCCAAAGAACTTATATGTACAACCCATGGACATGAACTAAGAGGAGGGAATGCTACAGGGAGTGGGCGCAGGACAGAGGGGGATAAAGGGGAGATAAAAAATATGGGACAACTATAATAGCATAATCAATAAAATACACTTAAAAATAAATTATTGATTTAATCTTCTTACTCTTCTATTCTTTTATAACCAGTCTTACTGGGTTGTAGGTGTCCAGAAATTTATTTCTTATGTGTTCACCAATTTGCTGGTGTATGGTTGTTCATAGCAGTCTGTTATGATCCTTTGTATTCCTGTGGTATCAGTGGTAAAGTCTCCTCTTTCACGCAGATTTTATTTATTTGAAACTTCTCTCTTTTTTTGAGTCTAGTAAAGGTTTTTCAGTTTTTTTAATCTTTCAAGAAAAACTGGCTCTTAGCAGTTTCTATTGCTTCTGCTCTGATAGTTGATGTTTTTTTTTCTTTCTGCTAATTTTGGGCTTAGTTTGTTCTTCTTTTCCTAGTTCTTTGAGACATAGTTAGTTATTTATTTGAGATCTTCCTTTTTAAGAAATTATTTTATTGTTTACACTGTTACAGTTGTCCCAATTTTTCCCCCTTTGCTCCCCTCCACCCAGCCTGCCCTGCACTCCCATTGACAATCCCCACACAGTTGTCCACGTCCATGGGTCCTTCATGTATGTTCTGTGACTAATCCCTTCACCTTTTTAACTTAGTCCCCACCTTCCCCCTCCCTTCTTACAGTTGTCAGTCTGCTCCACAATTCTATGCCTCTGGTTCTATTTTGCTCATTAGTTTTTACTGTAGGCATTTGTTAATATTTCTCTCATACAACTGCTTTGAATGCATCCCGTAAGTTTCAAAATGTCATGTTTCCATTTTTGTTTGTTTTAAGACTTTAAAAAATTTTTCCTTTTGATTTCTTTCTTGGGCCATTGTTTGTTTGAGTGTGTTTTTTAATTTCCACATATTTGTGAATTTTCTTGTTTTCCCCCTGTCACTAATTTCTTGTTTCATACCATTGTGGTTGGGGAAGATACCTGGTATGATTTCAGTTTTCTTAAATTTTCTAAGACTTATTTTGTGACCTAACATATGTTCTATTTTGGAGAATGTTCCATGTGCACTTAAGAGTGTACCATATTCTCGTGGAATGTTATATATATGAGGAGAACCCCCAAAACCCCAGAATTTATTTATAAAAAATTGTGTATTTATTCATACATGTTTAAACTTCAGTCACCTTCAAAGGACTCTCCAGTAAATGCACTACACCTTTTGAGTCTTTTTTTCACTGCTCAAAACAGTTCTCGAGTTCGTTGATCCTGATGCCTTTTAGTGCTTCTGCTGTTTTTGTTTTGCCTCTTCCACATCTGCAAAACATTGCTGTTTGAGGACTTTTTTTCATGCAGATGAAGAAAGTTGCTTGGGTTGAGATCAGGTGAATAGGGAGGGTGAAGCATGAAGGTCATGCTGTTTTTAGTCAAAAACTGTTGAATACTCATTCAGTGTGGTGTGGGCAGGTGCCCTCATAAATCACCCACCATGAAATGGGCAAATGCTTTGAAAGGGTCTTCAGAAAACAATTCACTGAAGTTGAACGTAGCCTCAGTGAAAGGCACAGTTTCTTGGAGGTTTCAGTTAATGAGAAATATTAAATGAGGACTATTAAAGAACTGTTCTAGAGATCTAGGGTAGAATAATATGACCTGAACATGATCAGGCTATATATTCTCTACTTGGGAGTTTTTAAAAGTATCATTTCTAAGTCCCATCCTCAGACCAATTAAATTACAATCTCTGGAATATGCGGCCTGGACCTTGGTATTTAAAAAAAAATGTTTCCATGTGATCTTAATGCTAGTTAGGGTAGAGATGATTGTTCTTTTTTCTTTTTCTGTTTTCACCCAGGAAATATTTTATGAATTCTATGCATATTACACTTGTTTTTTGTTATTCATAACCCAGCAAAGATGAAAACTTACAAACTCCCACCAAAAGTCATGCATTTTGCCTTTCAGCACCAGTAGTGAACATTTTTACATAGACTAACATTCATAGATTAAATAATTAGCGTGCTAAAAGATTATGTTCCTTTCTACTTTTCTACTTCTGAAGCTAAATTTGAATATAAGATTAGTAATACATTAGTAAAAAGTCAGTAGGAAGAGAAAATTCTATTTTGTAAGTGTGATGCCATTTCACAGATGTGAATACTTGCTGGAGATAACCAGGCCTCATTCTGATGTGGTACCATTGTCTATCAAAACAAGGATCTTAATTACTAAGTACTTTTAGCACGATGAATAAAAGTGCTAATTATTCTTTTCTGCTGTGGACAATGCGCTTAGGTCTCTGACAAGAAGTCATGGATATTAGTAACTTCTATGTGTTTAACGTTTTTGAGCAAAGATAGAGGAAAAGGAATTATCTAAAGCAAGAAAAACTTTTTTCTTCCACAAGTTCATTTTGTTTGGAATCTTTTAAGTATGTTATGGTATCTATTCCCACTTTCCAGCTGAGATTCAAGAGGTACTGGTTTTTTGACTAGATTTTTCAGCTAGTGAGTGGCGAGCTGGGATTTGATTGCAGACCTGTTTCATTCTGGAGCCCATGTCTCCCTTCCCTCTGATATTACATTGCCTCCATGTCCATAGAAAACCTGGGAACTTAAATAGGTAGGTGGTATTTAAAAGTGTTTTTATGTGTTTCTGTCTATCTATGATATGATTTAGCCTTTTTTCCCCCCTAGGATAATACCCTTCAAGCTGAATGGCCCTCAGCAGATGAATCCGCCACCAGCAGTATTTCACCAGTTGATTTCAGCCCTGGTCCTCCCTCCACCACTGGCAGGGAACTCTGGTCAGAAGGACCTTTGGGTGATTTAGCTTCTACGCCCAAATTAGCCTTCCCCTCGAAGGCGGGCCTCAGTTCTTCCCCAGAGGTGTTAGAGATTAGCAGCTTGACTCTTCATTCTGTCACCCCAGCAGTGCTTCGGACTGATTGGCCTGTGGCTTCTGAGGAAGGGGTTTCTGCATCTCACTTATTAGAAGATGGTAAGACCTTACACCCACTTTTCATATTTCTTTACTGTACTGTGCCAGATGCCAAGGGCTTTGAGGAGAGGAAGAGACGGGTTAATGGAAAGGCATGGTTGTGTGCATTAGAAGGAAATGTCTCGGGAAAGTCGTGTGAGAGAGGGACCAGATTTAATTGGTGGGAATGGAGGCAAATAATGGGAAATAAAGTTGATGGGCTGCAGTGGGGATCAGTTAATAGATGTTTTGAAGGTTCTAGTAAAAATATATAATTATTACTATTAAATAACTACTTTACTTACTTGAATATTGGAGTGGTAAAGAGCATCGAAGAAGATTATCCCACTAGCTCTTAATAGGATTAATTGTAGGGACCAGGTATAGCAATTTTTAACTTGCATTAGGCTTCAGAAGGGAGAACCTGAACTAAGGCAGGTATAGTACAGATTAAAAAATGAAAATCAGGTAGGTGATTTAGAAGTTGTGAAGGAAAGGAAAAGTCACTGTGACCCAGGCATGGAGTATACACGTGAGAGAGGAAGATGAACAAAGATGTAACTAATGAGTTCAGGATTTCAAACATTAGGTGAATCTGAAGGATGATGGACAATAAACATAAAAAAGAAACAGAAACTTAAAGACAATATTTCCTAGGAAATTTTATCCCTAAGTTTTCACTAGATTCTGTGTCTATAGTCAGTATGGCTACCAGCAGTTCTTTAGTTTCATAGAGTGAGAAAAAAAAATCAACTGTTTAAAAATGAGTTACTTCAATAGCTGATATCTTTTTTATTCTCATGGAAATGGGGTATATTCATGAATGATTGTACCACACCACAAAAAAAAATAATCCTGTCATCCTGTTGTTCCCTGGAAATCACAATGTAAAAGTCAGGAACTGTTCTTCCCAATCAAATGGGAAAAATGAGGAAGCTGGTTTTATTAGGACTGGGAATAACATTTAGTAACACTGTTGGCTAATTAATGGAAAATTTTATTTTTAGGATTAACCAAAGTTGAAGGGTCAGGAGATACTCTTTCTGTTGATCCATTGTCTTCAAGCCCATCCACTCATCCTGTGCCAAAAGAAACAATACCATCTGTGGAAGACTCTGGGGTGTCTTTGACATCCTCACCGTATCTGGTCTCCTCTGTCACAATAGATCTTCCTGCTCAGGCAGAAAATATAGCTTTTGGCTTGGACTCTTTGGTCTCCAAAGTCAAAGGCCATTTAGAAGTGAGCACTTTGATGGCAGACACATCCATGGAAAAGGAGTTCATATTTGAAAGTGGCTTAGGTTCAGGGTCTGGGCAAAAGATGGATCTGATTACTTGGCCATGGAGTGACATTTCACTAGAGAACAGCACTGAACCACTGTCCAAGTCATGGCTGGAAGATGAGGACTCGCTTTTGCCAAATGAAGCTATAGATGAGAAACTAGTTACAGATGACAAGATAGATTCCACAGACAGAAGTAGTGAGCGCTCAGAATACGGGCATTTTGATAGATCCACACATCCTGCAGAGGAGGAGCCCCTTGACCGACCCACTGTGCCCATTTCTGCAGAGACCACAACTCAGTCTGCATCTCTACTTCCCTCCAAGCGCACATCAGAGGTGCCTGACACTGATTATTCCTCAGGTACGGAAGCACCTCCTCTACTGACATCTGCAGCTATTGCTGCTTCTACCAGTGAACCAGATCAAGTGGAACCCGTTCTAAGGGAGGATATGGAACATTCTACAGAGACAACCCATCGTGAACGGTTTGACAGCAAGATTTCAGTAGTGAAGCCAGAGAGGCAACCTTTGTGGGCCACATTGCCAGAGTCAGATGTAGTTTGGGCAAACACTTCTTCCCCAGGGAAATTGTCCAGAGACACATCATCGGCAAGTGCACCAGAGAGTAGAGACAAGCTCTGGTTGAAAGCTTCCACGACACAGTCCCCCACATTGCCTCCAACCACAAGCCCCACCCTGCGGGAGGATGAGGTAATTATGGGCGTACAGGATATTTCATTAGAACTGGACCGGATAGGCACAGATTACTATCAGCCTGAGCTAATCCCAGAGGAAGATGGCAAGGTTGGTAGTTACGTGGAAATGTCTGCAAATATTCACTCTACAGAGATGGCTGTTGTGGCTCAGCCCACAAAAAGAAGTGACTCAAATCATACACAGACCACAGGAGCTTTGCTGGTGTTCTTTAGCCTTCGAGTGACTAACATGATGTTTTCAGAAGATCTGTTTAATAAAAACTCTTTGGAGTATAAAGCCCTGGAGCAAAGATTCTTAGAATTGGTAAGCACAAGAAGTGAAATATGGGTATGAGTTAGTGATCATGTTGGAGCCACCAATTTCCCCTTCAACGATAGGACGTGAGCCAAGGAAAATGGGGTCTGCTGTAGATCCTCACTTTTTAAAAATCGGCTACAAATGGTGTCAGGGCCCCGGGTTGGTAAGAAAACAATAACACACACACACACACACACACACACAAAAGAAAACAATAACACAGGTGTATACAAGAAACAGAAAACACAAATGTGGCATGAGGGACATGTGACAACTTGGGTACTGAAGATTGTATTCATGACTTCTAGAACTGAAACATGTTGAAGATTTTTTTCACAGTTTATTGTGAGACCAGTGTTTTCTGGGTACCTATGATGCCTTCACTGTTGTGACCCTATAGTGAAACAGAGAAAAATAAACTCTCTGTTATCTAGAACTGTCTATGAGCTCCATGGTGTTCCTAAATATCACTATTACAATCTCCAACTCTCAAATAATTCACAACTGACCTTTTTTTCTTAAAATTTTTTTCAATGGCAGTTTATATTCAATATTATTTTGTATTAGTTTCAAGTGTACAACATAGTGGTTGGACAATCCTATACTTTACAAAGCATTTCCCCTGATATTTTCGGTACCCAGCTGACACCATACAGAGTTATTACAATATTATTGATTATATTTCCTATGCTGTAATTTACATCCCCATAACCATTACCATTGCAACAGTATGAATGGACCTAGAGGGTATTATGCCAAGTGAAATAAGTCAGTCAGAGAAAGACAAATACAATATGATCTCACTTATATGTGGAATCTAAACAACAATATAAATGAATAAACAAAACAGAAACAGACTCACAGATACAGAGAACATACTGATAGTTGTCAGAGGGGAGGGGTTGGGGAACTAGGTGAAAAGGTGAAGGGATTGGAAAGTACAAATTGGTAGTTACAACTGATACCTTTGTTGATGAACAGTTTAAATAATGTAAGTAGCATGCAGTTCGGAAACAGGGAGGGGTGCATCTTTGTGTTTTTGTTTTTCGTATGTGTTGAACAAAATGTAAAACCGTGTTAATAAACTGATTATTTTTCATGTATTGTAGCTGGTTCCCTATCTTCAGTCAAATCTCACAGGGTTCCAGAATTTAGAAATCTTGAACTTCAGAAATGGCAGTATTGTGGTGAACAGCAGAATGAAGTTTGCCAAGTCTGTCCCTCCTAATGTTAACAATGCTGTATATATGATTCTGGAAGACTTTTGCACCACTGCCTACCAAACCATGAACTTGGCTATTGATAAATATTCCCTTGATGTGGAATCAGGTAATGATATTGATTACCCTGCATGTTTCTTAGTAGGATCCATTAATTATTCTTATGTATTTTTTTCTACCCTGAGTCAATTTGAATTCAACACTTGTAGGTAAGAGTCCTGTGTCAGGCAAATTTTCTGCTTCTTTATAATTAGTAAAATATCTCTCCCAAGGACATTAATAATATTCTCTTTTCAAAAGGGTTGTCCACAGGCCCTGGTCAGTGTAGCTCAGTTGGCTGAAGCATCATACTGTAACTGAGAAGTCGTGGGTTTGATTCCCATGAGGGCACAAACCTAGGTTGCAGGTCTGGCCCTGTTGGTCTGAGCACTCATGACCCCTGGTCATGGTGCAAAGGGGGGCACCCAATCAATGCTTCTCTCTCACATTGATGTTTCTGTCTCTCTCTCTAAAAGCAGTGAAAAAAATGTCCTCAGGTGAGGGAAAAGAAGCCCCCCAACAGTTGCCCATACATGTCTTATTTACTCCCACTCCCTGTTCTACCTATTCTACTGGCTCTCTTACCTGTCCACTGAGTCTGTTCTTGTTATGCATCTCTATGTAGCCACGCCCAGTAGATTTGGACTCTCCTTCTATATTATTTTCCTAAGTTGTTTTATCCATTTCCATGACTGTGAGTCTAATGTAGATGTAAAGAACTCTCCACATTTTTATATGCAGATCAGACTTATCTTCTGGTCTCCATAATCAATATTTAACTACTTGTTGATCTCAACTTGGATGTAATTTATGCATATCAAATTTAAGATATATAACACTGAGCTCTTGTTTTTCATATCTTGCCACCTTCCAGCTCTATTTATTCCTCTCACTTTCATTATATTGATAAATGGAAGCTGTGTCCATTCAACTACTTAAACCAGAAACCTGATTCTGATTTTTCCATCATTCCTCCAGTTTCCATCATTCCCAGTTTCCAGTCATTAATTGAACTCATACTGATTCTGAATTCTAAATATATGTCAAATCCATATGCCTCTCCCAGTCTCTCCACTGCCACAACTCCAGGCCCACCCATCGTCACCTCTCAGTTGAACCAGGTTCCTCACTACCGCTCTCATTCCCTTGCCCCACCCATTCTCCAGACAGCAGCCAGGTGCTCTTTCTAAAACATCAGTCAGATTACTTCACTTTCCTGCCTGAAATGCTTCAATGACTGCCTGGTTCAACAGCCACAACGCCTGGTCCCTATCTTCTTCCCCAGTATCATGCAATGAAACTAACTTCTTTGCTCATCAAGTAAAACTAGCTCATTTTTAGTTCTTCAGATTTAAAAAAAAAACTTCTTGCTTTATAGCCTTTGCATATATTAGCTCTTTTGCCTGGAACTCTTTCCCCTCTTGGCTGACTTTTGCTCACACTTTTATCCCTCAGATCAAATGTCTCTTCCTCAAGGCTTCAACTGACTCACCCATAATCTAGATTGGGTCTTTCCTATTAGGGATTTTTTTTTTTTTGGTAACACCATATTCTTTTCCTGCTATGGAATTTACTACTATAGTAATAATAGTAATTTATGCACATAGTTGCTTAATGGCTAGTATTCCCATCTTAGCTATCCACAAGGACAGAGACTTTATCTGTTTTATTAACCACGTATAGAAGGTACTGAAAAATACTGTGAATAAATGAAACGAACCATTGTTTTTATTTGGAAAACTTGGATAGAGAGAACACCGTTGAACCCTCAGTCTTTGTTCTTTTTTTATCTTCTAAACACCTGAGGACAGTGTTTTTGGGCAGGAGTAATGGGGAGTGTCTGGGTTTGTATTTCTCCAGCACCTTTACTCCCAAACTTGTTTGAAAGTCAACTCTATTCTTTAATGGAGAAAAAAAGCAAACATTCTTTCTTTGAAATCCTTGAAGGACCATTATTTATTGAAAGTGAGGAAAATGATTTGACTAATCCCCCAATATCTAAATCTATTGCCATTTGAGTTCTCTAAGGCTGGCTCACATCTTTTGCCACGTGGGATAGTGGAAGTAGCAATTACTTATGATTTGGAAGGCCTGGTTTTTTGTCTCTGCTCTGCCATTTCTCATTTGTGCGACCCTAGATGAGCTGTTTTATCTCTGAGCCTTAGTCCATGTATACTAAATGGGGGTGATGTCTCGGGTGAGTCATATAAACGTCTAATCACTATGTTGTACACCTGAAACAAATATAATACTCTATGATAACTCTAATTAAAAAATAAAAATGTTTAAAAAATGGGGATAATAATACCTGGCCTATGTATTTCATGGGGCTAGTCAAAGGATTAAACAAATAACATATATTTGCATTTGAATAGCCATACAAATGCAAGCTGTTTTAATTTATAAAACTTCTAAAGGTGAGTCCACTTTTTTAAAAAAGGGAAGTACAACAAATAAGTGCATTATGTAACTCATGTGTCAGCCGCAGGCTGAGTCTTCCAGGTTTATAGGATCACCTTTTTTAAAATATTCAAATGAACTGGCATTAGCCCCTCCCATGTACAGTGTAAAATCTGCATCCATGTCCCTCCCATCTTTAATAGCTCTAGGAATGAACAGGGAACTTAAATATCTCTAATCACCTCCAGCTCAGAGTTCCCTCTGCTGAGTTTCCAGTCTCACATTTGTCTTGATGCTTGTGGTTGTTCTTTATGAAAACCCAATACAGATCATGGTCCCATTTTTTAAAAAAGACTTTACTTATTTAATTTTAGAGGGGAAGGGATAGAAAGAGAGAGGGAGAGAAATATTAATGTGAAAGAGAATCATCAATCGGTTGCCTCTCAATTGTGCCCCAGCTGGGGACCAAACTTGCAACCCATGCATGTGTCCTGGCCAGGAATCGAACCGATGATCCTTTGCCTTGCAGGACGATGCTCCACCAACTGAGCCACACAGGTCAGGTCCACAGACTCATATTTGACTTTTCCAAAGCACCTCTAACACAAGGTAGCTGATTCTGTGAGATATTTGTTGATGACATGAGGGTGACAGAGGAAGTTTTCTCATACCACAACAGATGGCTTAAAATTTTGTTAGGTATAAATATCCTACACTTCCTCAGCATCCCTTTCAAAGTCATTTCTTGTTGGCCAGCTTTTTGGACCAAGCCAGCTACCACGTTATTCTGGCTATGCTGGCTGTCTCTCCACCCTCTTCATGTTTTCTCCACTCTCGTTTTTTCTGGACCCATCGATTCCTCTCCTTGCCTGCCCGTGGAAAACTAGACATAATTCATTCTACAATTTAATCCCTGTCACTTATCCCAAAGTTAGCTCCAGGCCTACATTTGTTTTCCCATAAAGTCATTAAGGTACTCTTAAACAAAGGGGCATCTGTTCTGAGCATCCACCTTTAACCTCCACAAAGAACTGGAAAAAGACTTTAAAGTCTCTTATTTAGATGATTAAAATATCAGTCTCAGCATCTCTCCTTGGTCTGAAGCAGAAGGGAGCAACATCCATGTCTTTCCTCTTACGGATCCTGTTTTCCTTCCCCAGGTATTCCTCTATACCCATAGGAGGGTCACAATATTTTAGAATTCTTAAAGAGAATTTTCCTATTACCTGTATATTTTTAGTTAAAGGCCTTCAGATTAAAGTACTATTTTACCTCAAGATTGGCTGGTGGCAACACTGACTTGTCTCTTGCCTATCTCGTTTTCACAAACTCTGGAACTTCCATCAACAAAGAGTCAGGCAGTATCATCCGTCCCACCCTCTGTACCCACTGCTGTCCCTCAGGCTAGGCCAGGGTCATGTTACTGTCTGAGTACAAAGTTGCACTGTGTGCTCTTGAATAAGACTGTGAGGACTCAGGAACTGCACATTGGAATCGTGCTGTAGACACTGCCCGTCCGTCAGTGCGCCTGTGCGCTCTCCTTGTCACAGCAGCATCGTCCCCCTGCTCCCTGGGTTAGTTTCCCGGGGCTGCCGTAACCAAGGACCACAGACTGGGTGGCTTACAAAAACAGACATTTTTCTCTCATGCCTTTGACAGCTAGAAATCTAAAATCAAGGTGTTGTCAGGGCCCCTCTCCCAGTAAAGGGTCTAGAAAAGATTCCCAGATGAGTCAGAAATTTTGGGGCGTAATGGTGTATTTCAATAGTTCAGGAAAGGGGTTGCCCCACAGTGCTCTCGAGCAGGGAACCTTAGTGGAGGACCTTCATGTACCCCAGCTCCTGTCTGTTGCCTTTCCTTGTGTAATTTTCTGGTTTGTTTGGCATTTTAGGTGACCAAGCCAACCCTTGCAAGTTTCAGGCATGCAATGAATTTTCTGAGTGTTTGGTCAGTCCCTGGAGTGGAGAAGCAGAGTGCAGGTGCTACCCTGGGTACCTGAGTGTGGGAGAAGGGCCCTGTCGGAGTCTCTGTGACCTGCGGCCTGACTTCTGCTTCAATGATGGGAAGTGTGACATCATGCCCGGACATGGGGCCATTTGTAGGTATGGTGTAATTAGGGATTTTGGCTTCACAAGGTTGTGGGTACTTCCTCTGAAGAGAACAGGTCTATACCTAAAATTTTAGGAATATCACAGCCATATGTGTTATAGAAATTATATCTAGGCAACAGATTGGTGCCATCTATCTAGGTCTCATGTGAAGACTGAGTTGGTTAAAAGGCCTGACTTACACCAAGTTGAAATGGTTATTTTGTTTCATGCTCTTTGGGAGCGGTAAGAAAAACGTTGCCTAGTGTCCTAGGGTTGTGGTTCTTAGGGGTGATGGTTAGGTAACTGGTGCCTAAATTAGGTTTCAGCATAAGATCAACACTCTACAGTGTACCTGAAAGTGAAACAGAGGAGTTTCATTCTGTTTGGATTGTTTTTAATGGCTTGGGCTGCTCTTGGTCCTACAGAGTATTCAGAGATAAAGAAAAGCAAATATGTAAAGTCTTTGAAGTTACAAGTATATTTTATTTCCTATATATACGTGAGATCCATTGTTTTAAGGTAGAACCCCACCCCTACGCAATGCAGCAGACAGATGAGTAGATAGATACAGGGAGTCTGACCGTCCTTTCCTTCCCATCCCCCTTAAACGAAGTGGAGCAAATCAACCTCCCAGCCATTCATACCACAGTCACATGGTATAAAGGGAGAGAATGCTGAGAATAAACAAGAGGGCAATTTGTGAGTGTGAAAAAGGTCAAATGTTGGTATAATGCCAAAGACAGAGGACATAGAAATGATTCACACTCTCCTATGTGAAAAAGTGTAATGTTTAGCTAGGAAACCGAGGGGAAAAGTAGTCTCTTGATATGCAGAGAAATCAATATTATTTTGAAAAACCCTGATTTCCTTGCTGCTCTGGGATGGGATGACATTTTTGTACAAGTCTAGGCCCCAGGGTTTGGGGGCTGTCTGCAGTATGGGGAAGGACGTGAGGAGTCTGGGGACCTGGGTGCCAGCCCCAGCTCTGTCGCTGACTCATGGTGTGACCTTACACCAGCCACGTTCCTCTGGGCCTGCTTAATGTTACCCATAACTAAGGAAGTTGATTAGAATCCTTCAAGTCTAGCCAGTCTTTCATTCCATCATTTACTTGTAGTCATTGACCTCCTGGCTCAGTGCCAGGCCTGATGCACAGACTTAAAACCCAGGATCATTGACCTGATACCTGCCTCTTTACTGAAGCTTCAGGTGGGCAGCATTTATTTCTTTCCCTTTTCCAGTCCTGCTGAAGCTTCTGCTGTTGGTTACCGCTCTCCACAGAGTGAATCCATGTTCAGACTCGGTCACTTCTCCTTGCAGATGCCGGGTGGGTGAGAACTGGTGGTACCGAGGCGAGCGCTGTGAGGAGTTCGTGTCCGAGCCCTTGGTGATTGGCATCACCATCGCCGCCGTGGTTGGACTTCTCCTCGTCTCTTCGGCTGTCATCTTCTTCCTCGTCAGGACTCTTCAAACTCACAATGCTAGGAGAGAAGGACAGAGGCCCTTTAGGTAAATAAAGAAAACTGCTTTCTGGTGGAGGAAAATGTTCCTCCATTCATTTAGTGCAGTACTTACCATGTGCCAAATATTGGGTAGGGGTCCGGGGTGGAGGGGAGAAAGCTGTAGAGCTGAATGCAAACATGGTCCCTGCCCCCGAAGGGTGTCAACTGGGAAACACACACAAGCAGCAGTTTGAATAAGATGCTAAGGGGCCTAGGTGAGGGATGAATTAGTTTTGCCTGGGGGAGAGAGTCTTAGAAGGTCTGAGGATTGTTATGCTATTTAGCTGGACAGAAGGGTGAATATTTACTGTGGGTGGGGTAGCATACTTTCTAGCTGGTGGAATGAGCTTGAGCACAGTTAGGAAGACATGGGCGAACCTCAGGGCACACTGAGGGAAGGGCATCACTCAGCATGGCCAAAATGCCGGTTTCATGTCGGGGAGAGTTTTGAAGGTGATGGATACAAGGGGAGGCCCTGGTATGAGGACCAGGTATGTTAGTTTGTTCCCCTTTGACTTACTCAGTTTTAAATCTAGATAAGAATGACAAGAAATGAAATCTGGTTTTCTTTGAGTTCAGCGTAGCTGTATCAGTGGAGAAAATATAACCTGTTCTACTTGCTACACTAGCGATCCAAGGACCTGTGGGGTTGTTATGGGAATACGATCTCTGGTTGTACTTTGCTTTTGTGCTTTGTAGTCTGTAAGAGCTGCTGGTTTAGGTCTAGGTTACCTTCCCTCACCCTGGGCTTGCCAAGGAGTCATCTCTCCCAGGTTCCTAGAGCACCCAGGACATACTTCCGTCATTGTTCTTATTGTTTTTATTGACTCTGACTTTGCATTGACTATAATCTCATTCTGGGGAGGGATTCCAATAAATTTCTTGTATCATTAGTATCTAGAACAGTCTTAGGCACATAATCAATGCTCAGTAAATATGTGTAGATATGAATTGAATTGAATTAAATCCCAGCACTCCCATATTTACATTTCTCTCAGATTCTCTGTATGTTGCACATTGATTTTTGATTGGTCTGCTCTGGCAATGACGCTGCCATATGCATTTAATGAAACAGTCTGCATTGGCAGGCGTGGTTCCCCGTCAGCATTTATTGAGTGCCGGGCACTGTGGGGCAAATAAAGATGAAAGAGACGGAACAATTCCACTGGGTCCTTGTGAGGTAGTTGAGGAGATAACAATGATAACATCTGAAAAAAAAATTGAGATTATCTGGATGTTTTTCACAGTCCCCTTTCCACATTTGTATCAGTTCATCTCTTTTTCTTCTCTAACAGAAATCTTGCAACAAGTAAATAGTCTCCCAAGTAGTTGAGCCTCTGAACAGAACCTGAATCAATCATACTTCTCTTTTTGTGGCTCCAGCAGGCGGCCTGACGGCCTCCCGTCTGTTGAAGATGCTGTAAAGTACAACCCCGCCTATGAAAGCCACGTGGCGGGAATCGAGCAGTATGAGGGACCCTATCCTCCGCGCCCCTTCTACAGCTCTGCAGGAGGAGAGGCCTTTGGTGGCCTGAGCAGGGAAGAAATCAGGCATATGTATGAGAACAGTGGGCTTTCCAGGGAGGTAGGAAACTGTGCTTTGCTGTTGTTGCTCTGCTGCTGCCGGTGTGTGTTTGTGTGTGTGCCTGAGCTTCAAGAGATGACAAGTATTTCCTGCTTACTTCTTACCCTGTAGTATCTCCCAGGTGATGTTGGATGCAGAGGGTTATTACATCTGAGCTGCACCTCGTTCTCCACCCAGTGGTTTCTATTTCCATTATTAGCAGATGCTCTCTCCCTCCTCACCCCCCTTCTTTAGAAATATGTCTGAGTTACTCTGTGTGGTATCCAAACCTTCCATTTCTCTGTGAAGGCTGTTCTTTCCTATACCTCTCCCCTGATAGCCCAGAAAGCCACAATTCCTTATAAAAATTAGAACTCTTTTTATTTATTTCTATTTTTGTGCTGAATAGTGTTTATTTATTTATATATTTTAAATAGAATTTATTGGGGTGATACTGGTTCACAAAACCACACAGGTTTCAAGTGTACGACTCAACAAAACCTCATAACATCCTCTGCACATCGCATTGTGGGCCCACCAACCCAAGCAAAGTCTCTCTCTGTCCCTGTTCCCCGCTCTGCCCACCTCCACCTGTGCCCCGCCCCCTTTCCCTCTGGCTATCACCACACTGTTGTCTGTGTCTACGTGTTATGTATATATGTTTTTATAATGCCATGCGTGTCCTCTTTTTCTTTTCTGTTTTTTTTAAAGGAAATTCAAGAAAGAATGAGAATCTTGGAACTGTATGCCAATGACCCTGAGTTTGCAGCTTTTGTGAGAGAACACCAAATGTAAGCATTAGGAGCAGTGTCCCTGTTCGGGCTCCTGACAGCCTCCTCGGAGCCGAGCCTCCAGCGGGAGCACTTAATTCCTGTCCATGCGCCCTGGGCTCTGGTGGTAACCCACGCTTGCTGGGTTCTTCACAGTTAACATGCTTTCACACAGACTACCTCACATGTTTCTTATAAGGGCTCTATCAGTTGAATGATTCTTATTTAAGTTTTGCAAGTGAGGAAAAGAACCCTCGGAGAGCTGAAGAGACTTACTGAAGATCACAGTGGGAGCAAATGGCAGAGAAAATTTAAAATGAAGACACTACATGGTCTGGCCTAGAGCTTCCTGGGCTGTGTCATGTTTTCCCGCTTGTTACCATAGGTATCACCCATGATTTAATGCTCTAAAATATGTTTAATAGACAGTTCCTATGAAAAACACTTGAGTAGCCCTACATCCCGACATTTAACTATCTCTATAGACACTTTTCACTACGCTTTGAATTACACAAATTTCATTAAAGTGTGTATCTTGTCTCTATCTAGTTCATTTTATATTTCACTCTGTCTTTCCATTTGCTTTTCTCAGCCTGTGTTTTGGGCAAGTGTCTCTGGTTTTATTCCTTTTGTTCCCCAGGGTCTGTAACTAGACTTAAGTTACAAAAATAAACTGTCTTATACAGAGATCATTATGGGGATTAATAGAGTGTCGTGGGTGGAATTATACTTTGGCTTTTATATTTGCTCCTAATGCTGCCCTCACAAGGGTGCTGCCTTATGGGGGGGTTTCACTGAGGCCAGATATCTTCTCCTGGCTTGAAAAGAGAAAAACCAGGGCAACTCACTCAAGTTTGTGGAAGAAATTGATCAAGGGTCAGGATAGCACCATGGCCCTGGAGCGTCTGCCCCTTTGCTCCAAATTCCTCTTTCTCTGGTAGACAGTCTCTCCCATGATTCTGCTCTGATAGGAAGGGACAAACTGACACTTAAGGGAACTGAGGAAGTATTTTTCTAATTCCATGTGCATGGTAGAGCTCCTTCAAAAATCTCCGAACGTCTGACTTGGCTCTTGGGAAGTACTGCCAGCCTTGCTTACTGCTGGTTGAACAAGAGTACCAGGAGTCTGCCTTGGAAACCAGGGTACCTACTTATCCCGGCACCTGAAGCCAGCAGGAGGCGGGGGGCTCAGTTCCCGGGGTATCTAATAAAAGAACGTGATTGACGGTTTTGTCCTCCCTAAGACTTTTTATAAGCCCCTTGGAGACACCTGCCTGAATGTGTTGCCTGAATGAAAAATGCATCTCATCTAGGCCAAGACGTCCAAAGAAAGGGTTCAGGAGAACGGAATTAGTGGAGGACAGATTGACTATGTTGCTTCAGTTTCTGCTGGTAAACTGTCTGGCAATAGCATATGCAACACAAAATCCATGGTAACAGAAGATTCGAAAAAAGAAGATCAGTGAAACAAAAGGAAGTTCACACATGCACTATAGACTTAAGAGGGATGTTTGCTAAGGAAGTTGGTATTGAAAAAGTGTTGGGCACACCGTTTTTATATGAAATGTTGAAGGGACTTATCTGAGGAAAAGAAGAACGTCAAAACTATGAATGGTAAAGTGACAACAAACTCACAAGTGTCAACAAGGGTCAACAACTGAACCTAAAAAAAACAAAAACAAATACTAGAACAGGAACAGAATCACAGAAATGGAGATCACATGAGGGTTATCAGCAGGAGAGTTGGGGGGGATGGAGGAAAAAGGTACAGGGAATAAGAAGCACAATTGGTAGGTATAAAATAGACAGGAGGAGGTTAAGAATAATATAGGAAATGGAGAAGCCAAAGAACTTATATGTATGACCCATGGACATGAACTAAGACAGGGAGAAATGCTGCAGGGGTGAGGGGTACAGGGCAGAGGGGAATAAAGGGGAGAAAAATGGGACAAGTGTAATAGCATAATCAATAAAATATACTTAAAAAATGTTAGGCTCATAACCCACACAACATTTTCAGTTTCACTTAATCTCAGCATTTTTATCTAACAGTAGCCCAAGAAAATGTTAATAGACTTGATTTAGGATTTAGTAAAAGTATTATATGGTCTTTGTAGAGAAGGATTTTTTTTAAACTTAGCAACGTGCAGGATAACTTTGTGCAGAGAAAGCAAATACAAAGTATTGGTGATTTTAGGAATACAACTTGGCAATGTGTTACAGCAAAAGTGCATTTCAATGTACATTCTTGCTTTTTTCAATTAATTGTGCTTTTCTTTTTTTCCATGACAGGGATGAGCTTTAATCACGACTGGTATTTTGGAACTGATTAGAAGCCTAGAGAAGATAGAGATCACTCGTTACTGTATCATATAATTAACCTGGATCTTGAACTCTGTTGGAAGATGAATATTTTACTACAAAACATTAAGTTTAGGGCACAAATTTTTTTCCAGTTTAGAATTTCAGAATGTAGTAAGAGATGTGACAATTTTTATACCTACAAACAGTTTTATATGTAAACAGTATTTAAAGAAATTCAAAACTGTGTGTGTTCCGGAAAGCATTCTGGAAGAAAGCAGCTGGGCCGCGGGGCGCCTTGGGGAGGCATTGCTGTCTGCTGCCGAATGTCCCAGGGCGTCTGCCAACGACTGCGCCTCGGGAGTCCCAGGAGGAAGAGAAGGCGAGACTATCACAGGAGAGGGCGGGTTTGCTAGGTAAACATTCGGCACCATGCTTGGTATTGTCAGATAAAATGGAGTGAGAAGCCTTTGATGCAGTTTTAATATAGTTTATAGTCAGATTCGTCTAATTAAAATGTTAAGTTTTGGGGGGGATTAAACTGCTGAAGAAAAAGTAAACTTTTTGCTGCTCTATAGAGTTAGTTTTGTATTTCATGCTTCTACCAGAGTTTTGAATTTTCTGAGCATGTTAATCAAGATCACATTACTGTTGTGTTAACCATCTCAGAATCCTTTTTTTTTTCCAGCTGTCCAGAACAATACATATATATGAAGTCTGAGGCTTTTCTTAGACTAAAGATGAATTTAATTGTGGACAGGGAGGGAGTGAAGGTTAGGTGAAGGCCACAGTGCTGAGAGTGTATGGTTTGCCGATTGACAGGTGGGCTGAGTGAGAATTTACGGGTTCCTTGATCCTGCTTACGGTGTCTGAAGATGTCCCAGCCAAATCCTGGATCCTCTCTAGTTTCTGATATTTTCATCTGGGAAACAGCACTTAACTACTCCACATAGTACAGGTTAGCTCATTTGGATTACTTCTCTTTTGTGTAATAACTCAAGTCTAAATTAATTCTGGAGTAATATCTTTTTATTTTCTAGGTAGGAAAAGGTCCCCATCTTATATAAATTTTAACTGAATTAGTAGCTACCCACTTTCTCTCCAGTATGTTTTTGAATGGGTAGCTTTGGAAGGGGAAAGGAAAGGGCCAAATAATCATCCCTATTAATATTAAACTGCATGTGCAAATAATTATTATCAGTAGTTATTATTGATACAGATATTTTATGTTACAATGTCTTTATGTCTGCCAAAAGCAATCTGGGACATTTTGATTTTTTTCTGACCAGGGATAGACTGACCATTAAGATAAAATATTGATTGACTTATTTTTTTTCTTAACTTGATGACTGCTAATTTCACTCATTATGACACCAGAAACTAAATGTCTGGACTCAGTACATGCCACAGTACAGCTAGTAAAGCCTTGAAGATATTAGGTAATACCTTGAAGCCTCAGGTATTTTGCAGAGTATATGTGGTAATTAATGTATGTGTGTGTGTGTGTGCACACGTGTGTGTGTATGAAGGCAGTTCCCTTGTGTCAATATTGCTTTCATTCCCTCCTCACATAACGCATTCTCTAGGACTTGGGCATAGGTGTGAGCCACTGCTGGGATGTTTTTCACTGGGTCCATTTGAAAGGTAGGGCCCTTTGATAAATTGGCAGTAGGGCCCACTGATAAATTGGGCGATGCTGTCACTACTAAATGCTTAATTTTATTTGTAAAACTTCTAAAGAGCTCTGTTTAGCTTTAAAATTTTTCCTAAACTTGTTTGTGTTTGATTAAAAAATTGTGTTATCACAAGTTAACCATCGAATGCCACCTTTTGAATGTCCACTTGCTGGCAAAGTTCCAGATGGATGTGAGGGCAACGAGAGCAGGGTGGCCCGGGAGACCCTCAGGAGGAGCAGACACTGAGCTGCGGGGGAATCGCTGTTCCCCAGGGGCTTTGAGACTCTGGTGGTCTCTGTCTCTGGTTTTCTTTTGTGTGACCTTTTCATGTGAGAGCGTGAATATCTGCTCCACGCTGATTAAGTGGAAAGTAAAGGAAGCCCTGCCCTTTCAGGGAGAGACCCGAAGGCCTCCATCCAGGAATAAAGACAGTTGCCCCGCCCTCACAGCTGGACCATGTGGGGGGGTCAGAGAGTGCGGTTTCCACGAGGAAGTTCACACTGCCCAGAAATAACTTTTTAAAAACCTAAGTATAGTTGGTATACCATATTATACTAGTTGTATCATTTCAGGTGGACAATATGGTGATTTGTCACTTCATACCTTACATTGTGGTCATCCCACTAACTCCAGGGTCGTCTGCCACTGTGCAACTGCATCGCAGTGTTATCTGCTGTCTTCCCCTTCGGCAGACACTATGCTAACTGAAGTCAGAGAAAGAGATACCATATGCTCTCACTTCTATGTGGAATCTAAAAAACAAGCAAACAAAATTTAACAACCCAGATTCACAGAAACAGAAAGAGCTTCCTTTAAAAAAGAGCATGCCCCAAGGTAATTTAATGGCATGTAGTCATTTTAAAGTATTAGGCTCAACTCTCCTTTCAGGCCGTGTGATTGAGGAATGAAATGTTCTGGTTATTAGAACATTCTCATTAACCTAGCAATATAGTATTTAACAAGACTGTCACCTTATTTGAAAACAATAAAATGCATAGTAAAACACCAAAAGTGCATAGTAAGTAACTCAGAAATTTTTTTTTGATTCATAAGGGGCTTTGGAGTCTCGTAGATATATATAGCCTTTGTAGTTGAGTATCTAGACACAATTCTTATTTTCATGGTTTCTGGATAAAAGGGGAATTTATTTGAGAAATAGGATTTTATTTCCATCATGGCAGTGTTTTAAGAGTATTTGTTCACATATGTGCCCTAAAGTCCCATTTGCTTTACATAATAAAACAAGCGCGGGCTTTGCCTGCTTTCTTCCCTTCTGCAGCACCGGGTCACCGTGGGTCAGTTACTCCCTGCCTCCCTTTCCTTTCTTACGACATAGTGCGTTGTGATGTAGTGAAACAACCCTGACTGAATAGTACTTTAGGAAAAAAGGTGAAAACTGTACAAATATTTTTTGTTGGCTCTAAAACTATATTGAGTCAAATATGATATCTGACCTAATTATTTGCATTCTAGTTTTATAAGTTTGTCTTCTATTTCATGGTTTTTAGGCAGGTGGTATCTTTGTGTCATTTCCATGTTTTCTGTCATGGATACCAGCCTGTAAATTGAATTTTCCTTATGAAATGGGAAGTGAAGTCAGCATATTTATACCACGAAGAAATAGCTGATTTAGGAGAATAACCCATCTTTATTAAATGGAGATGTTTTAGCCAAGAAAATTATAGGTCAAAATTTTTCCCCTAAAATGTTTCTAACAATTCCCAGTAGGAATGGGTAGGGCCAGCCTTCCTCATTTAGCGTCCAGCTGCAAGAAACTCATTCTATTCCCAAATGTACAATAAATGCAGAAAAAAAGATGCGAAGGTCACAAACCTCAAATCAATCAGTTGCATTGTATCCCACAGTAGGTCCTGGCTGGGGGTGGGCGGGTGGGAGGGCACCAAAAAGTGGTTGATGGTGTAGAGAATCTGCCTGGAAATTCTTTTTGGCACATGGATTTTGTAAAACTTTAAAATACTCCCATGTGTTGATAAGACATGGGTTAAATGGCTCCCCTCACTTGCACAATTTACAACTACAGACTAGATTAAATGATTTCTTCTCCTGGCTTTCCCCCCCTCTTTATATGTAAAATTATTCCTTTAGAGATTAAGGACATACATAGGAAAAAGGTAACCATGATATCAAAGAATATAGATATACTATTTATGTATCAGGCCTGTGTGATGTTTCCAGAGTGATTGTGTTCGATATGGAGTATAGATAATGAAAGGTTGTTCTTTTTTCATCTTGTTTATAATGACATTTTACCTAAACTGGGTCAGACAAGTTCATGCTACTGTACTGTTGTTGTTTTTTTTTGAAATGCTCTAGTCTTAATTCTAGCTAATTAGCATGAAAAAGTCTTTGTGTATACAAAAGGGGCTTTCCTTCTCATGTTTGTATGCCATGTTCATTATTAATAAACTTATCTTTCAAGAACCTTGCCTACATTTTTTTTCAATTGTAGATTATAGCAACAGTTAAGTTGTAATTACCATTCAAAGATACAATGTGAGCATGGTGCAAAAATGATCAGTCTTTGATTATTTTTATTTTTTTAATTTATTTTATTTGATTTTTTGAAATTTTTAAAAAGTTGTTACAATTGACATATAATATAATATAATATTTATTTCAGGTGTACAACACAGTGATTAGGCATTTACATAACTTACAAAGTGATCACCCCCATAAGTCCAGTACCCATCCCACACCACACACAGTTATTAAAATATTACTGACTGTTTCATATGCTGTACTTAACATTCCAGTGGTTGTTTTTATAACTGATGATTCTTTTTAATCCCTTCACCTTTCCCCCCACGCCCCAACACCCTTCCCATCTGGCTTTGATTAGCATTTGGGAAGTGAAGTTGCAGGGGAACTGGAGACAGGTCCGGAGCTCAGATGTCGCCTTTGTTGCTATTTGACAATGCTGAGTCATTATTTAACCTTTCTTGAACTTTACTCTTTTAACTGTTAGAAACTTTTATTTTTTTTCTCCTTTGTTTAAGGAAGGGATGGAAAGAAAACTGATGGAATTAATTAAAGAAAGATTGGGGTAGTTAGCAACAGCTGTGCTGTAATGAGAACAGGAACTGTGAGCTGACTAGAGGACAGAGGAGACCCATGTGCTGGCAGCAACCAAAAGCCATCTTGCGTGGGAAGGGCCGGAGGCAAGTCAGCTACCACTTACCTGAGCATCGACGTGAGAAACCTCAATTTTCTGTTTTTTCCCTTCCTGCCCTTGTGTGATGTCTTGTTGGCAACAGAGCACGGGGCAGTCCTAAATCAGTAAAGAGGAGGGTGGGCTTGATTCGACTCCAAAGACTGTATTATAAAAAGGCAAAGTGGGAGAAATGTGTCTAATAAATATCTGTTGATTAACTAGTGACCAAGTTTTAAAAGAAAGTGAGTAATAACACTTTTTAGTACACTGAGTCAGAACAGGCCTGGGCACTTTAGCCGAGGCCTCTCCACGCTGGTCCACCTCTAGGTGCTTCCAAACGTGTGTCCCATGGGAGCCACTCATTGACAGGCCGTGTCCCGGGAACGAATCCTTAAATTATCTTCTCACCAACACACACACATGTTTTGTGTCCCATGTCTTAAAGAACAAATGAATCTATTCTAATATGATAATAGTTGAGAAATTATGCTTTTGTAACGCTAACATAGTGTGTGGGCTTTCTGGATATAATTTCTTTTTGCAGATGAGTAATTCTCATGGTTAATATTGCACATATCATGGCAAGTTTGGAGAAGAATGTGCATATTTTTGGTAGGTGGGACTTTAAAGGAGCCTCAGAAAATGCACAAAAACTTTTTTTTATGCCCATTTCTGTACCATTACATGCTTTCATTCCATTTTTCACCAGGGGTGTGTTGTAATTTTTTACTTATGCCACTAAACTGAGTACTTTGAGGTTGGGGCCATGTCTTGCTCATCTTTATTCATGAAACCAAAGAGTGCTTGACACAGTGTTTGTCTACAATTATTATTAATTCAGTGGGCTTGAGGTAATGGGTAATATGTCGATATCTATTTTCTGACTAGCAAGCAAACAATTATTTTGTATTCCAGGAACCAATCAGGTGGACCTATGAGTAGTTTACAAGCTATTTCAAAAGAAGTGTTTACAGAGATTTAAAAATGGTCCTCTGTTTCAAGAGATCAGATACCTACATTTCTGTCTTATTCTCACTGAGTAATTTATGAATTATAAAGTAGTAAGCATGTTACAAAAACCTGGCAGAAAGTATGGACTGCTGCCACCAGGTGTAGTAGTAGCCTCTCTGAGTTTCTTAGGCACTGACTCAGGGAGGAGGTTGGGACGAAGAGGAGAATGGGGCTAGGATGGTAGAAACAAGCTTCAGGTGCTGTAGGGGAGGGGCGAGTGGGTTTGTGGACTCGCGACTGGTGGATTTGTGGGAACAAAAATTTGACTTTCTATTGATAGAGTTGGGAGTATGATGCAATAGCAGGCATTGTTTAATCTTAAAAAACAGTTTTTAAAAATGATTTTATTCTTTGTGAATTCTTTATTGTATAGGGTAGAATAAAATAAAGGCACCAAGTTCTTCCCTTTCTTAGAAAAAAAAACACTACCATAAAGAAGGATGAGTAATTGGTTAAACCTGTCTCTGTCGGCTTTATTCTCGTATTTATCTTTTCTGAAAGTTTTTGATTGTGATTGTCCTGCACATAGCAGAAACCGATTTTGTTATTTCCTCTCAGTTTCACAAGGTTTACCATGTGGGGAAAATTGCCTGTCTTCTCATTTTTGTAACTTAGGCCTAGCAGAGTGGCTGGTGTCCCTGCGCTCCCAGGGAAAGACACCATAGAGAGGACGGTGCATGCTGGGTTCCTCCAGCACATGATTCCCCTAACGTGATGTACGTGCAGGCGCACCTCAGAGACATTGCCAGTTCGGTTTCAGGCCTGCACTAAAGCAAGTCTCCCAGGAAAGCAGGTCTTGTTACAATGTCATAATCTTTTTGCTGGTGGAGGGCCTTGCCTTCAATTTGTAAAAAACACAGCACCTGTGACTTACAATAAAGTGAAGTGCAGCAGAATGAGGCAGGCCTGTACTTGGAAGCATCTGTTTGGCTCCATGCTCCTAGGGGAGGGTATTAGTTTTCCTAGGTGTCAGATACTTCGCAGATACTCAGCAAGGATGGCGTTGCTGTGCTGCCAGGGAGACCGTCCAAGGTTTGTGTGATAGCAGAACAATGTTAAATACTTTGCTATAATGAATGTTGGAAACTTCTTTTTTGTTGTCTTTTTCAAAATATATTTTATTGATTATGCTATTACAGTTGTCCTATTTCCCTGCCTGGTTCCCCTCTGCTCTGCACATCCCCTCCCACCCACAATCCCACCCCTTTAGTTCATGTCCATGGGTCGTACGTATAAGTTCCTTGGCTTCTACATTTCCCATACTATTCTTAATCTCTACCTGCCTATTTTCTACCTACCATTTATGTTACTTATTCTCTGTACCTTCCCCCCTCTCCCTCTCTCCCACTGATAACCCTCCCTGTGATCTCCATTTCTGTGATTCTGCTCCTGTCCTAGTTGTTTGCTTAGTTTGTTTTTGTTTTGTATTTTAGGTTTGGTTGTCAATAGTTGTAATTTTGTTGTCATTTTACTGTTCATATTTTTATCTTCTTTTCCTTAGATAAGTCCCTTTAACATTTCATTTACTAAGGGCTTGGTGATGATGAACTCCTTTAACTAGACCTTATCTGGGAAGCCCTTTATCTGCCCTTCCATTCTAAATGAAAGCTTTGCTGGATAGAGTAATACTGGATGAAGGTCCTTGCCTTTCATGACTTCAAATACTTTTTTCCAGCCCCTTCTTGCCTGAAAGGTTTCTTTTGAGAAATCAGCCAATAGTCTTATGGGAACTCCTTTGTAGGTAACTTTCTCCCTTTCTCTCGCTGCTTTCAAGATTCTCTCCTTATCTTTATTCTTGGGTAATGTAATTATGATGTGCTTTGGTGTGTTCTTCTTTGGGTCCAAATTCTTTAGGATTCTCTGAGCTTCCTGGACTTCCTGAAAGTCTATTTTCTTCACCAGATTGGGGAAGTTCTCCTTTATTATGTTTTCACATAAGTTTTCAATTTCTTGCTCTTTTTCTTCTTCTTCTGGCACCCCTATGATTTAGATGTTGGAATGTTTAAAGTTGTCCTAGAAGTTTTTAAGCCTCTTCTCATTTATCTGAATTCTTGTTTCTCCATTCTGTTCTGTGGAATATTTATTTCTTCCTTCTGGTCCAAACTGTTGATTTGAGTCTCGATTTCCTTCCCATCACTGTTGGTTCCCTGTACATTTTTCTTTATTTCACTTTTCAGAGCCTTCAACTTTTTCCTCTATTTTGTGACCATACTCCACAATTTCTGCAAGCATCCTGTTTACCAGTGTTTTGAATTGTGCATTGGATAGGTTGGCTGTCTTTTCATCACTTAGTTGTATTTTTTCCTAGAGCTTTGATCTGTTCTTTCATTTGGGACGTTTTTTGTCTTGGTGTACCTGTTATGTATTAAGGGGTGGAACCTTAGGTATTCATTAGGGTGGGGCAAACCCTGTCACTGCATTGTGGTGCTGTATGTGGGGGAGGAGGTTGAGAGGTCACAATGCTGCTTGCTCCACTCTCTACTGGTTTTCAGTCACTTCTGTCACAACCCACAAGGAAATCGAGCTCTTCTGTTGCTGATTCCCCAGTGGGTGGTTTTGTGTACATTATAGGACTTGGTGGGTCTTGCCAATGAACTCTCCTGTGAGTCTGGGAGTTTCTCCCCCTGCCATAACCCTCATAGGTTTTTACAGCTCGAGGTTTTGAGGCTTTTTCTCCTCTCACCGGAACCCTG